GACCATCAGCTTCCTCTGGCAACAAGGAATCAGTAATCTCTTACAAGGTTCTGTGAGGATTAAATATGTCTGTCCTATAAGTGAAATGCCTAGTACAGCTTTATGCCCACAGAGGTACTAGTGGCAGCTTTTCATGAACACTTAAAAGGTTCCGGGTAGCACTTCAGGGCTGTGTTAAATGCCTTACGGACATTTTATAAGTCCCTTCCAAGGAAACCGGGAGGAGAGAGCTCTGGCAATAAACTCTGAACTAAAACCTAGTGCTGCCACATACCAGCCTCATGACCTTAGACAAGTCACTCTAGGCCTCAGTTAGAATGCCTGGAAAATGGAGATAACATCTCCCAGCCTGGCAAAAGATGACAAGTATGAGAATTATTAAGGTACCACACACAATGCAATAATAGAGAAGATTATCCTTTCTTTAACACATTCTAGGCAAGTAAAATATTGGAAATAGCAGATGTCATCCTCCCAGCCAGGGCTTTAGGGCCCATTTCTCAATTATCTCTGATTCTCTAAAACCTCAGCAAAAAGCTTGTTTAAAAAGCAGCTAAAGGCCACAATTATGCTTTGGGAAGCTCTGCTCTGCAGAATGAAGAAAAAGGTGATGCAAAGGAAACCAAGCCAAGGATGTCAACTTTTCTTTGAGCACAGGCCTTGTCAGCTTCTCATTTGCTGTTCCTGGCCAGAGAACTGGGCTGACAAGAAGAGCAGCCAGCCAGGTCAGCGGCTGCCCTCCCGGATTCCAGCCACCCCAGCACCCATGGTTATTTTTGGCTGGCACTGCCCTACCACTGCAACCTCAAACATGCCACCTCGCAAGCCTCCACCACGAACGGGTGAAACGCTCCTCCTTTTCAAGGGCATCAAGGAGGGAAGCTGGAAGGCCGCCAACTCCGCCTCGATGGGGGCCTGGCTCAGGCAATTTCCACCCCAGCTCCACATCAGGGCACTCATACCCGGAACTAAAGCCAGAGACTCCCGGGCGGGACGGAGCTGCAGCCAAGGGATTTGTACTGTCAGCTTGGCCTTGCCGATCCCCCGGGCTGGAACGGCTCCATCACAACAAAACACGCAGGGGGGGCTGCGCCCTCCTTCGCTTCCCTTCCTGCCGCCCCAGGTCCCAGGGGTCTCAGAGTCCCACCCTCTGTAACGGCCACCAGTGGCGCCGAGGGGAGAGCCGGGGACAGACCCGGGGGCAGAGGGAGGGCCAGACCGGGCCAGAATCAAACTCCAGGCCGCCAAGGGAGGAGTCGTCTGAAGACCAAGCGTGAAACCAAGGGAGGGGAGGGGTCTGAAGGGCCTCTGTGGCTATTCCACGTCGGACCCCGACCCCATTCCGCGGGCAGGCGCAGGGCCCAAACTGCACCCTCAAGGAGCCTCAGAGGCCGTTTAGGCCCCGCCTTCAACGCCGCGGGATCCAGGTCAGGGTCTGCAGTGACCGCCCTCCGGTGGAGAAGCAGCGGGTCAGGGGTGAGAGGTCGGGGCCGCGGCCCGAGGTGGGCCGAAGAGGAGAAAGAAAGGGAGTAGGCCGAGACCGAATGGCACCAGCGCGACCGCCGCCGCCGACTCACCCCCAGCCGCCGCCGCCGCTGTTGCCGCCGCGGGCCCCAGCCCACACTTACCGTCTCCCAGGCTCCAGCTGCTGCTAGGCCCCACTCCCCGCTCCGAGCGCCTCTTCCGCTTCCGGCTCCGACCTCCGCCCGTGGCGGCCCCGCCCCCTCGCGTGACGCAGCCGTCGCCTTCCCGGGCTCGACCCGGCTCGGCGGCCTGGCCGCTCTAGCACCCGACTCGAAGGCTCCGGGGCACCAGCGCTCTCCGCTCCGGTGGGCGCGGCGGCCACGGAGACTAGTTCCGGGAGGGCCGAGGGAACGGGCGCGGTTCGGCCCGCCTCCCGCCGTGTCGCGGCGCACGTACGTCCCCCGACCTGACAGGTGTGCTGCCCGGGTCAGAGAGGCGCTCGAAGCTGAGAAGTAGGGCCCCGACCCGGCCGCGGGGCTCGGCCGGCTCCGCCGCCCCGACCCCGCGTGGTCCGCCAACTCCCTCCTGCGCGCGGAGAGGACGGGCATTGTTCTCGGGGCCCGGGAGAGCGTGAGAGCCCCCTGAGGTCTGTGCGCGGGGCCTCGGCAAAGAGGACGCGACTCCGCTTGCGCGAAACAAGCCAACGACTCCTGACTGTCTCTCGGTGTGTGCGCTGTTTTGAAAGCCGTGGCGGCCCGCCCCGCACTTTCTGGGAAGACACCCGAGAGCCACTCTGGCGGAGCCTGTCGGAGGAGCCGCGGCCTGGGGGAAGGAGATCCCCTCTCCTTGAGCCCCCTGGGATGCGGCGGCCTCCCGCCAGCCTGTGTGGCCTCTCAGTTAAGACTCCCCCGCGGGCCCCGTCTGCGGTCACTGGACAGTCCCCTTTTGCAGAGGCCTCCAGCGTGGGGTCACCAAACCCCGGACACCTATTGGCCCGCACCGGGATGGGGAGGATCAGGAGGCCCCGCTTTCCAGATGAGAAAACCGAGGTGGGGATCTTTGGAGAGATCTCACTGTGAGCGTACGCGCCCCGCCCAGTCTAGGGGTGACGGCTCCGTCCCCGGACTCCCGAACGTCGCGCAGCAAAGCGACAGGGCGTGGCGCCTAATTGTCCCCACGCCACGCCAGGGCTAGAAACCCGCAGCCGGGGGGACCAACCCTCCAGGCACCGCCCCCTCCTCAGGACCGCTGGGCGGGGCTCCAAGGGTTTCCCTAGCACCACCCCGGCGCCCGCGCGGGAGCCGCGGCCCCGACCGTACACCCCTCCCCGCGGGGCTGGGCCCTCCACGGACGCGGAGAGCTGTCGCAGGGGAGCCCCCCGCCCGAGCCGCGGCTGCGCCTCGAGTCCTACGCCAGCTGCTCGCCCTCAAACGGGGTCTCACGGCGTGACTTGTGGGGGTGTCTAGTATCCCCCAAATCTCCGCCAGCTCCACCAGGCTACCCGAAGTAAACAGAAGCTAATTCAAAACTGGGTCCCTTCCCCAAAATTACAAAAAGTAGCCGGACGTGGCGGCGCGTGCAGAGGAATAGCAGGAGGGGGATTTTTCTGTGGGGGCGGAGCAGTTCGGTATCTTGATGGTAGCGGTGGTTAAAGGAGCCGACATATGTGATAAAATGGCACCGACCTAGGCACGTGATATTGTTTGATCGTGTTCCACACTTACACAAAATAGAACCTTTGGAGGAAACGGAGTGACGAGGACTTGAACCCTCTCTGTACCATCTTTGAAATTTCCTCTGAATCTGTACTTCCAAATCAAAGGTTAATATTTTTAAAGGTGATTTTGAGAAAAATGAATAATATTGATTGCATGCAGGTCGGGCGACGCCTTTGGCACAGTGAACGACTGGCATCTCTAATCCATCCCATGTACGACTGCCCCTGGCCAGGCCCTGTCCTAGGCTAGGGCGCCCGCTGGAAAATAGGACTCGGGACTCTCTCCTGCTTGGCTTTGAGGTAGAGATGCCAGATATAATATAGGCCGCCCAGTGAAATTTAGATTCTGATAACAAATGCATAATTTTTTAGTAAGTATGTACCATGCATATTTAGGACATACTTATGCTAAAAATTATTTCTCAATTCTTTCTTCATCTTCACAGGTGTTGCTATTTCAGTTCTTTCATGTATGTATATAGTCACTTTAATGCTACTACTTTAATGGAAACAACACACCACAGCCTGTAGGATACAACAAAAGCAGCACTAAGAGGGAAGCTTATGGCTGTAAACACCTACTTTTCAAAGGTAGATAAACAACCTAACAATACATATTAAAGAAACAGAACAGCAAGAGCAAACCGAACCGAAAATTAGCAGAAAAGAAATAATAAAGAGCAGAGCAGAAATAAATGCAAATGGAATGAAGAAAACAATTCAAAGCAACAAAAGAAAAAGTTTGTTTTTTGAAAAGATAAACAACATTGACAAATGTTTAGCCTAAGACTAAGGAAAACACAGGGAATGCCCAAGTAAATAAAATCAAAGGTGAAAAAAGAAACTTTAAAGTGATACCGCAAAAGGATTCAAAGGAGCACTAGTGGCTATAATAAGCAACAATATGCAGAGAAATTGGAAAACCTACTAAAAATGGATAAATTTCTAGACCATTTAAAATGGCCTAGATCGATTTAAGCCTACCAAGATTGAACCACGATGAAATCCAAAACCTGAACACACCAATGACAAGTAATGAGATTGAAGCGCTATAAAAAGCCTCCCAGCAAGGAAAAGCCTGGGACCTGATGGCTTCTCTGCTGAATTCTACCAAGTATTTAAAGAACGAATATCAATTTTACCCAGACTATGCCAGAAATAGACAAGGATGGAATACTTCCAAACTCATTCTACAAGGTTAGTATTACCCTGATACCAAAACCAAAGATACATCCAAAAATCAAAACCACAGGCCAAAATCATGGATGAATATTGATGCAAAAATCTTCAACAAAAGAATAGCAAATTGAATTCAACCACACATTCAAGTTGGGGTGCGCTGTCCCAGGTTCACTCCACCCTTCCCCGTTTCCTCTCTGTGCCTGTCTACTTTGGCTGTGCCCCCTGGTGGCAGCAGCTGTGGCAATGTTGGTGTGTGGACCTCCCAGGACAAGGGGAAAGCGACTATGCCCTTCTCTTGCGTCCTGCCAGGTGTCTGCAGCCTGGCACCAGCTCCAGCCAGGTCTTCAAGCAAGGGACCTGGAGATGTTCTTTTCCAATTTCTGCATGGGGAATTGAGGCAAATTCTGGGCGTTAGAGTCAGAATTATGTGAGGCTGAATCAGGGGAGTCTGGGGTCCTGAGAGGAGAGACCTGAAACCCTCTAGAGCATGTGGGGAGCTGGGTGTGTGTTCAGGCCAGTTGGTTGCTTCTCTCTGTGCGTCAGTGTTCCAGGTACCCTTGCAGGGACTGAGATCCTGGGGACTCCTGGAGCCTGGCTGCATGGCCTGGCCACCCTGATGCCCTTGTGTTCTCCGTGACAGGCCAGCAAGGCCGAGGAGAATAGCTCCGACAGCTTCGTGCACTCCATGGACCCACAGCTGGAGCGGCAAATGGAGACCACCCGGAACCTGGTGGACTCCTATATGGCCATTGTCAACAAGATGGTGCGGGACCTCATGGTTGGTCTCAGGCCCAAGACCACCATGCACCTCAAGATCAACAACATGCATGCACCGCCTCATGGGGGCAGGGAGCTCCTGTGGCACTGGGGACGCATGTGGCCATGTTGTCCTGCGGGAGATGCCAACCAGCCCTATGGTACCAGGTCCAGGGAGGGAGGCATGGTCTAGACCAGAGCTGTTCCATAGAAATATAGCATGGGACTGTGCACAGTGGCCCATGCCTGTAATCCCAGCACTATGGGAGGCCAAGGCAGGAGGATCGCTTGAGCCCAGGAGTTTCAGACTAGCTTGGGCAACACAGTGAGAATTGGTGTCTACACAAAAATTCTGAAAAATAGCTGGGCTTGGTGGTGGCATATTCCTGTAGTCCTAGCTATTTGACAGGCTGACTTTGGAGGATCGCTTTGAGCCCACCTGCACCTGCGCCCTCCCCTGCCCAGCCCTCCCCCAGCTGCTGCAGCTCCTCCTGCTCTGCGCTTGCCTCGCCAGCTCTCTCCTTGCTTTTCTCTCTCCCATTTTCTATCTGCTTTCTCTGCAACTGCCAGCCAATTGGGTCAGGGAAGTCCATCCCATCCTGAGAGTCCCAGGCCCCCCTTCGACCTCTACACAGATCCCCCCTCCTGTCGGAGACCTCCCTTTCCAAGCCTGTCTGGGCGGCTGTTCTGAGACTCCCCCAGCCCTAAAGCCAGCCCCTTTCACTTGTGACTTAGTCCATTGTAGCGGTGAGCTGACACATCCAGGTGTGACTGTCCCCCTCTGTGGCATGCCCTTGTCCTGTTCTCGCCTCTGGCACTGGAAATCAGTGACTGTGCTGTCCCTGTAGAGTCTTGTGGCCCAACAAGAGAAAGCTGTCCCCTGACACTACCCTCCAAAGTGCAGGACCTCCAGTGAGCCTCCCTGTCACCCAGGCCCCGCCATCCCTTCCACTCCTGCCAAGCATGGGGTTGCTGTGCAGGCAGCCCGGTGGCCTGACAGTCTCTACCAGTCCTGCTGTCCCTCGGCTGAGAGTCAAACCCATTTCTGGATGATGGGGGATATGTCCTATGTGGACTGTGTTCTCTGTGGAGCTCAGGGGAGGGGAAAGACCAAGCCATTTCTGCGATGCTGTCGGGTGCGGTAAAAAGGCCATACCCTTTCCAAGGGACACTTTTCCTGGAAAGCCCCTGGAGCTTAGCTAGTCTTATCCTGTGAAGCCGGCTCTGGCCACTAGGGAGCAGGAGGGCCATGAACTCAGCCTGGAGGGAGGCTGCGGGGCAGCTGGCACTCTGGTGGGACACACAAAACAGGCCACCAGGTGCAGACAGGAGAGGGAGGCAGGGGGATGGAAGAAAGACCCCTGGGGTGGTTGGAAGTCAGTGCCCTTGGGTACTGGTACCTGCCTTCCCGGCCACCGCTAGATCAGGCTTCTGAGCCTGCTGGCTGTCAGGGCCGGACGTGCCATGGCAGTCCCTGGGAAATCTCCCAGGTGTCACCGGGCAGCACACAGGTAACAGGCCTGGAAGGTCCCCAACAGCCCAGCTGGACATACTCAGACACTTGGGGCTCCTCGTTCAGTGGCACAAACTCCAGGACCAGTGAGGGAAACGGGAATACTCCAGGCCGAGCAGTGGGACTAAATCCATTTATTCCAAAATAAAAAGCAAAATAAACAGGAGTTGCATCACCAGAGAGCCACGACCCCAACCCTGCCTCCTTCCTCTGTCCTCTGCTATCAATAAACAAATTTCCCAGCCGCAAATAATTATTAAAACCTCCTCCCCATGTGCCAGTTTCAACCTCTGCTACGAACAAAACAGGGGGTGCCCCTACCCCCCGGAATATACAACATGTTACACAGATACAATATGTACACTGGGGAAGGGAGGCCAGCCCAGCAGCCCGTGCCCTCGCCTGGTCCACAGTTAGCGCCACTGTCCTGCCTCAGCTGCCGCTCTGAATAAGATGGGAGCCCCCTGAGGGAAAAGGTGCTTTGGTGAGGGGAAGGAGGCCATTAGGCTCCTCCAAACCAGCCAAGTCCAGCAGCCTCTGGCTCTTAAATAACAACCACCATCACCCAGAGATTTAAGGACTGGGCCCTGCTCAAGGTGACAAAGGGTCTGTTGGTCTCCCCCCATTAGACAGGGCTCTTGTCTTGCTACGCTAATAATAAAGGGGTGACTGGGAAGGGGTGGGAGGGACATGGTGGGGGCGGAGACTCCAGCCCCCCTTCTCCAGGCCTTGCTGACAGGGGCATGCTTTTATTTATTTTTATATTTATCCCCATGATGTTTTTTAAAAATCTCATAATTTCCTTTTCATAAATTTCATACTTCTCATAAAATTTTTCTACTTTTTATCCACAACGTTTTTTGCCACAACTTTTCCACATTTTTTGTCCCATAACTTTTTTATCCCATAACTTTTATTAGTTTGCGTTCTTTTAATGAACACACTTGCATAGCTATATAACCATTTCGTAAAAATAAAAACACATTATCTCATGCCAAGTGTGCCCAGCATTTGCAGAGTCTCCATATCTTTAATACTATAGTTGTTAAGATGCACAAAATTTTAAGGCAAAAACAGCGCTTTGCAGCAATTCAATAATTTATTACATTACAGGAGCATCACAGCAGCAGTCAATAATGCTGCTTTACACAAAAGGCTCAGGATTTTCATCTTACATTCTGTTCCCAAGAGTTCATACGTTGGTAAAAGTCATTCTTAGGAAACTTGGCAACTAAAGCTTTGGACTGGAATTGGCATTTCTTTCTCTACTTTTCCTTCCCCTGGTTTCTTTTAAACTATGACATTCATATTTTAAAACGTTTAAGTAATTTCATAACATTAAGATAGCAGTTACATGTTTTAATAGCTATCTTGAAAACGACTCTTAAGATAAAGTTTTGGAGAAGCTATATTACGGATAGGATAGGACTGAATTACATTTTCAAATTTTCTTAAAATCAGCTTTGGTTTCAGAACTGATTTTTATCATTTCTGGAAAATCTATCAGGTTTAATGAAATCCTTTAAAAATGATTATCATATATTGTACTCTTTAAATAGGCATTTTGATTCTTCCTACAGAAATTCAAATTCATTCAGTTGAACCCACATTTGAAAATTCTATGTATTTTTGTAATGACCTCTGAACAGAGACGCTGCCATTGAGCAGGCCTCTGGTACAGCAAACATGGTCCATTCAGGAGCTGTGAATACAGCTCTAGGTGAGCCCTGAATCAGTTCATAGTAGATTATGCTAAATAGTGAGCTGTTATTGGAGGTGTGGATGAGGACGTTTGTTGTTGTAATACTTGTTTGCACCTTATTTTAAAGAATAAATGAAACATTTTTCTGGTTGCCTTTTAAACATTTTAAATGGAGGGGAAGAATAGGGGCAGGGAATTATTAGGTTACTTCTCATGCATCAGTGTTATAAATTCAACATATAGACTGACAACCTAAATTAATGGTGGAACACAGTTCTTTTCCTTTTTTTTTTTTTGTATCTGTTTAATGAAAATAAGAAGGTACAACCCAAGTTTTGTACTCTGACTAGAGGGATTCCACTTCAAGGTCTGAAAGTAGGACTTTTACCTTAAAAACAACCACGACAAACAAAAACTATCACACAGGATGGATAAGAAGATGCTTAAACAGTTTTGTGTGGATCTTGTTGCTGCTGAACTATGGCATGAGCCTTATAGATTGTAAAATAGAGATAGTCGGAGCTAATGTACAGAATTAAATTTTTAAACTTTATTTGTTGTTAAATTTTGTGAAGTTTCAGTTATCTAAAATAAACATACACAAATATGAAAATAAAATAAAATTCTATGTTTTTGATAAATGCTAACCTTCTGATGTTGCCTTCTAAGCAAATTGAAAGCTGCCTTCTACTGAATGAGGAAGAGAAAAAATACTTGGCTGAATGAAGTACTGCAAAAAGCTTGCATGCACTTTGAAGAAAGACTTAAGTCACTGTCATATGACTTCCATTCTTTTTAGTTTTTTCTTAAATAGATGACAAAATGCCTACACAGAGTGATATTTCAGTTACTATAGTAAATGTATTTTCCAGTCTGACATTCACCTTAAATATGCCTGTATGTGATTTACTCCATAGGTACTTGATGAACGCATTATTGTCAGATTGGGTACAGATGCTAAACACTATCTGAAGGTCATCCCTAGTCATTTCTATTTCTTAGGGTAAAAGTGAAGTGATTTGAACTATGAAAACCCCTTTGAAATAATTTATCAATGTATCAGATAAACGCAGTTTCAGAATGATTAAGAAAAACTGCTTGACCAAATAATGTGGCTGATTAACAGTGGTAGGATTTCTAGCCCGGTGGTTTAAAATGGACTGAAAGTTCTGTTCTGTGTTTTATTCCTGAACTTGCCGCTTTTGCATTCTTTGAGTTCAGTTTAAAGACAGTTACTCTGAGTCCATTTTCAGAGGTACGATTTCTAGCCTGAGGGCTGAAAATGGACTTAGAGTAACTGTCTTTAAACTGAACTCAAAGGATGCAAAAGCGGCAAGTTCAGGAATAAAACACAGAACAGAACTTTAAGTCCAGTTTAAACCCCCAGGCTAGAAATCATACCACTGTTAATCTGCCGCATTATTTGGCCTAACAGTTTTCCTTGATCATTCTGAAACTGCATTTATCTGATACATTGATAAATTCCTACAATTTGGAAGAGTTAGTTCAAGTCACCAGGACCCAATATTTGTACTCTTTTAGGGAATGCAGGGAAATGTGTTATTCCATCTGTAAAATCCTATTAATGATCTCCTATTAATGTCATATTTATGAAAGTATCATGAGGATGCCAAATGCTAAGCATGGAGATGGTCAGTAACTAGGAATCTCCACTTCAGGGAGCACACATACATATGTCCCTCCATCCTAACAATGGGACGTATTTTGGCACACAGACATTAGAACTCCATGAAGTCCCAACTGTTGATTCTGTCCCAAGCATCATAAAGTTATGATTTAGGCAATGTCTGACTGAAATAATTCATTCATAATGTAGAGGCACATTAACAGAAATCTTGCACAAAATATGCCTCTAACTGAAACCGAAAGATATCAAAACATATTTCACTCTTGGTAAAGAACTTGATGAGGAAATAAAACTCTGTGATTGTACAGACACTTTTCCTGATAATACGTTGACATTCGCAAACAGTAGATGGCACTGCAGTCTATAAACATTTTAAGTTGCATAAACTTGATTTTCAAATATAGTACAATTCTCCCTACTGAGACTCCTTTTTGTTTCAGCCAAGTACTCTCACATGTATTAGTTTATAATAATGTCTGTGATTATTATTTTTTGTTTGTGATGATTGTTTAAAGTCCTTTTTATTGAAGAAAACGAAGGCAATTCCTATGTCAGAGTAACCAAGGTGGTTGAAGAATAGGTATTAGCTAGAGAAGTCTGGATGGTCACATCAGTCTTGTAGCCTCAAAGAAGCTCCATGAACACAGAGGGATGCCAGGTGTCACACGGCTTTCCTGCACTCTAGTCCATTAGTGACTACAACCTGTATGCCTGTTCCAGGGACATTTACACTTTTTAAAATTTTTATTAAAAATTTTATTTCCTTTTCTGGATATTTAAACTCTTAAAGCGTTTCTTTTTGTTGTTGTTGGAGATGTTTTATAAAAACGGACATTTTATCAGCACCTTGCTATGTGAACTGTAATAAATACCAATTTTTAAAACTGTGAAATGATACAAACAGATAATCTCATCCGTGGTCTCTTTCTGTGTGCAAGGCACTATACCAAGTGTCCTAAGACATTAACTGTTCAGTCATCAATATTTAGTGCCTATCCACTCTATGATACAAAGTTCCATTCATATATATATATATACATATATATACATATATATATTACACTTTATCTTAAAGGATTTCTTATGATCTTTACTAAATACATTAAGAAGAATGCCAACCAGTGCCCTTTTGTGTACTGAAACTTAGAGTCACGTCATTAAAACAGGTAACATAAACTCTGACTTTACCATGTATTATAGATATAAATGCTCTAAGCTAGGAAAGATTTTCCACATCCACAGTCAAAGATGGGAGCCTTTTAATCCTCAGAAATCATCCCTTTTTAGGTACAGCTGCCGCAGCTCATGATGCATTATCTTCATGAGCCCAAGGCACAGAAAAACCCTAAGAGAACTGCCACAGCACAGCGCTCGTTCTTGGCATGGGAAAGAATGAAATACTCTATTCTGCACATAACGGCCAGAGCAGGCCACTTTCCTCTTCGGTGAGATGTTAAAAGCTCCCAAAAATGTTATTTCTCCCATTTGCAATGCACAGAAAATGGAAGAAAGGCTGTTTCCAGTTCTCGGCTTTTCAACAACTCTAGATGTCAGTACTCATAGTGGCACCTTACAAATAATAAACAGTGTGCACGTGAGGACAAAGCACACATTGAGCTAATTAAGAGGTCACTGTAATTAGGATTCGATCAAATACCATAGCAGAACATAAGCAAATTGTATCTGAATTCCATAATGAATATACATGCTGCAATAACGTTAAAAACCTTGGCAGCCTATTCCAAACTAGCGAGAATGGTTTTGTGCCGATAGTGGGTCTTGGTGTGTTTGAACTCCCACCACGTAAGGGCAAACTCGATAGGCGTGCTAATGACCTACGATTATCAAATTAAAAACGAAAAACGCTAAAGGTTGCCAGAGTGAACATCAGTGAAAGCCACATGAAGACCCACTCTCCTTTAACTTTTAACAAATAAACTATAAATTAAAAGCACAAATCATCATGAGTGGCTCTAACATTCAAATAAAGTAAACATGTAGAGGACTAATCCTATAACTTTGTTCCTTTGTAAATTTCTTGGCCAGCTCTTAGCTGATGGTGATGTTTACCTCCTCCTTCACAGCAGCCCGGTAAAAGCATGGCATAGAGGGACTACTGCCCAAGGGTCGGTGTTGCTGGCCGTCTGCAGCTCACACAGCCGTGAGCAATCTGCTGTGCAGTGGGGTGTGGTGTACCCTCCCTCCTGCAGGCTCCAGGCTGTCACTGTCATCGTCCGGGCTCATCTCATAAAATTCTTTGGAGAGAGGGAGGTGGGGATCTGAGTACAGTGCCAGCCTCCCCTGCTCCTGCCTGCCCACCCCACCTGAGGGCTCTACTCACCATCCTTGTCAGCAGCACCAAGCTCCTGGGGGGCTGGGGCCCCTGGAGTGGAATCATTAGCAGGGTGCTGGACCTCGTGGCCGATCATAAGCTGCATCACTGGGCCCTGCAGCTCCAGCAGCTTCACCTGGAGATAGGGGTGCTCAGCTACCATGCGGGTGCCGGCACCCACGCTCATACCCACCTCCATCCCCTTCACACCAGCAGAGATGTTGTACACCTTACCTTCATCCCCTCCTCGGTCTCGGACAGCATGCTAACATCGTTCTTCTTCTGGTGCTGGGTCATGGCCACTGCTGTCTGATGGTCATTTGGTTTGATGGACTTTCCTGCGGGAGGACAGGCTCAGACACTGGGGGCCCTCCCACCACCCTGCAGCTCCCCTGCCCTGCCCTGGCCTTCTGCTCACTTATCATGTCTCTCTCTCCAGAGAGCTGGATGAGTCCGAGTTCTAGTTTTACCACCCGCTCCTTCAGGTCCGCATTTTCCTTCTCGAGGGCCATGAACTCATTCTGGAGCCAAAATAATGGGGTCACATCTCGGCAGCGACCTACCCCACCCCACCCTTCATGGCACCTGCCAGGACTCACTCACCTGTAGCTTGTCGATGGCGCCCTGCAGGGCCCGCTGGGTCTCCCCACACCCACGGTGGCTCCTAGTCCCTGTGGCTGCGGTCGCTGCCTCTGGCTCCCTCAGGGCCGAGGCCACCGGGTGAGCCTGGTGCTGGCTGCACACCTGTTGTTTCTGGAGCTGCTCACAGAGCCGTGCCTGCTCCTCCTGGGCACGGGCTCCAGCAGCGTTCAGAAATGGCACCTGAAGGCAAGAGGGGAGCATTCTTGTAGGGGCATACATAGGACAGACGGGGCAGGGAGGTGGAGCGCAGCCCCTTCCCTCGGGGCCTCGGAGACTGCACCTGTCAGTCATGATGGTGTCTGAACACCAGCTCCCGGAATGGGTGAGGGTCCAGCGGAATCAGAAGGCAGAGAAACCAAGAGCATAAGGGGGTCTGGGAGGGACCACAGAGGAAGGTGGCCTGCCCAGGCACCTGGCCCCTGGCTCCAGCCTAAGAGACTGCCTACCTTGCCTAGAACCCCATGCCTCCTTCCCCAGCCTCAAATCTCACGTCCTTCCTTCCACCATTTAAACTGTAGGCCACAGACTGGGGAAAAGCACAGGGAGCCGACCACCATCTGCCAAGTGTGCTACATGCCTAATGCTTTCCACGCATCATCTCATTTAATCCTCAGCACCCACGCAAGGAAAACGCTAACTTCCTTTGGAAGTTAAAGAAACAGAGACTGAGAGATGCAAGTAGTTGAATGGTGACTAGTGGAATCAAGGCCGGAATCCAGTTTGGATCTAAGGAGACTTTCATTTTGTTTTGCTTTGATTTGATTTGCTCTGTTTTGAGACAGAGTGTCACTCTGTGGCCCAGGCTGGAGAGTGGTGGTGCAAACTCAGCTCACCGCAACCTCCAGCTCCCGGGCTCAAGCAATGCTCATGCCTCAGCCCCCTGAGTAGCTGGGATTAGTGGTGTGCACCACCACGCCCAGCTTTGTTGTGGTGGTTGTTGTACTTTTAGTAGAGATGAGGTTTCGCCACGTTGGCCAGGCTGATCTCAAACTCCTGATCTTAAGGGATTCTCCTGCCTCAGCCTCCCAAAGTGCTCGGATTACAGGGGTGAGCCACCGCACCCAGCATAAAGAGCCTCTCACACCACTGTCTCTCTTGCCCTATGACTGGGGGGCTCCATCCCTCGAGCTGGGATGATGATGTCCAGACCTGGGAGGAGCCCAGGACTACCAGCCTTTAAAAGTCAGAGGACAGGAAGCAAGAAACGGTCACAGGACTACCCTGGAGGGTGTGGGATCACCTGCCCTCAGGGTGGAGCTGCCTGTGGCCTTGCACCTCCCCTCCCCAGAGGCCGGTGCCTGCCTCCCAGCCCTCCTGGATGGGGCAGGGGTTACCATCTCCTGTTCGCCAAGCTTCTCCTGCAGCTCCTTTCCTTCCTGCTCCAAATGCAGTACGCTCCTGTTCTCGTTCTTCTGGACAGAGAGAAGCAATCAGCGGCCACCCACTGCAGCTGGAGACCCCAAAACTTGGTGACTGCCTCCCATGGCACCAGGAAGGGTGAGGGCAGGTTAGAAAAATTGTCTCCTTTCTCCCACAGCCATCAGAGCAATGCTGTGTTCACAGGTGCCTTTAGAAGCCCCATTTCATATACTCCCCCATTTTACAGGTGGGAAAACAAAGGCCCGGAGGGATGGGAAGGAGGGCAGTCTCCCCAGGTGGGCAACACATCAGCTCCTCCTCCTGCTCCTGGAGCCCCTCCTGCTCAAGAAGCCTCTCCTCCTGTTCTCTCAGCCTCACCTCCTTCTCCCGGAGCCGCATTTTCGCCTCCTGCAGTCTCTGCTGTTCCCGCAGCTCATCTCTCAGGTACTTGATTTCAGTTTTTAGGTTTTTCTCCAAGTCAGAGTGCCCTGCTGGGGGCTTCGGGATTGGGGATTCAGCTGAGAAAGGAAGCAGACAATGAGGGCCTCTGGATTCTCAAAACAAAAAGCAAAAAAATCTCTTCTGGGTGCACAGCTCCTCTCAGGCTCCCCAAACCTGGCCTCACTGCTAATGATTCCTCACACCCAAATGGTAGCCAGTCTTCCAAGCCACTTTCACATAGAGAGCACTGTGGGTGGCTGACAACAGGCACCCCTCCCTCTTTCTGATGGGGACACTGAGGCTCATGGAGATTACAAGACTTGCCGTCTCCTAGCACAGACCTCTTTCCCTCTGCCTCAAAGCCCTTCCAGCCACCCACCTCCCTGGGGCACTCTGAGCCACCCCCACAGCCCTCTGATGCCAGTCCTGCTCCCTGGTCAGGCCAGCCCCATCTTACCCAGATGGTTTTGTAGGTGGGCAAGGCTCCCCTTCAGCTCCTCGATTTTAATTGTGTCCTGTCTTTTCTCCATTTTGAATATTTCAATCTGCCCAAAGCACAGGGGGAAAGGGCCCTGGAGAGAGGGGCTGGTGGCTGGACAGGCTACCATCTCCCTCTCTGCCCCCAGCTCCACAAAGCCCAGTCCCGGGACCACCCCTGGCTGGACTATTCTTTTTACAGATGCCCAGGAAGATCCAGTGAGCCATCTAAGGTGGGGGCTGAAGGGTCAGCTCTCACTTCTCCTGCCATTTTCAGCAATTGCTGCTGCCACCGCGCTCTCTCTATTTTGAGTTGTTGAGCATATGCGTCTCTTTCTAGCTGAGCTTTCTTAAGACACCCCGTCACCTGCAAGAATGGACCCTGAAGTTAGGAAGGGCTGTCACTGGTCCTCACCTGCTCCTGGCCACCTGGGCTCATCTTCCTTCCACATCCCTCCCTCTGCAAAGTCTCACCTCTGCCACCTGTGCTTTTAGCAGTTCCCGCTCCTGTAGAAACTGCTGTAACTGCTGCTCAAGGATTGCCCCACAGTGGCTCGAGGGCTGGAGGGTGGAGAGGGAGAAGCTTCAATCTGGAGAGCCTGGGCCATTCCACACAGTGCCCCTTAAAAGGGCTAGGGCTGGGCTTCATACACAACTTGGTCAGTAAAGATCAAGGCCCATGGTCTGGATTTTAAAAGAACTCAGTAAAGTTGGAAGGGACAGGCAAAGAGATGAAATTTACAGCTGGCTAACAGAGGCCCAGGGAGATCAGATCATATTCTATTGTTATTCCTGTTGTTACTACGCTGTTGGAACCTTTATTGAGTGCGTCACCAGGTAGTGTGGTAACAATCCCATTTAACTTCACAGCCACCATGTGAAGCAGTTGCTACCATTACCTCTATTGGGTAGATGGAAAACATGGAGTATTAGAGGTTAAGTGGTTGCCTAAGATCACTTAGACAGAGCTGGGATTTGAACACCCAGGTCCATCTGATCCTCTAAGTACATTTTTTTTCCTGCTGGGGGTGGGGGCACAGACAGGAAGGGAGAAATTAATCTTCTGCTCACTTTTTGAAAGGATGATACATTCGCATAGTCCAAAACTCAGAAGGTACAGAAGAGAAGTATCTCCCAGCCACCTGTGCTCTCTCCTGAGTGTTTTACAAATCCTTGCAGACATGTTTTATGTATACTATCATAGTACACACACACACACACACACACACACACACACACACACACACACATGTTTCCTCTCTACACAAATGGTAACATACTAAAGCTACTCTTCTGTACTCTTCTGTACTGTCACAGTACAAGTACCCAGACTCCCACCTAGGACTTGGCCAAGGCCACAGCCGGGTAAGGGCAGGGCGGGCATTTGGCCTCTGAGCTTTGCATCCAGTGCTAGCTCTCCATAGCGCCCTTCAACTCACCCACAGCAGCCCCAAGGGGAAACTGGAGCCCAGGATTGGCAGTATGAAATCAGGGGACTCCACTGGACTCTTACCAATAAGTCCATGGTGTTATTCAGTTCACTGGTTGTGACGGAGCTCAAGTCCAGGGCTATTTGTAGTTGGTGTGCGCTCTGAGGCACATGCAGAGAGGAGGAGTTGGGGGAGGATCGGGGGAGAGGTAGAGAGAACAATCATTAGGGTTGGGGTGTGTGGGGGCTGTCTCGGCTGGCAGACGGGCACCCAGCCGCCAGTGTGGGAGCAGGGTGGAGGGCTAGCCTGCAGGGTCACTGTACCTCAGCTCAGGGCCTCTTACCTCTGGATCTTTCATGGTGGCACATGGCGCAGGGCCCTCCTTGGGACCACCTGCTGCTGACTACAAGAGATGAGAGTGCACATGGAGATGTTCTGTCCCCTCAGTGTCCAAGCCTCTGACTTCCTTTCCTCCCCACCAGCTGGTAGCACTTCCTGTTCTGCCTCTCGGACCCTTTGTCCCATAACTCCTCTGTGCCAGCTCCTCTCATGGTGCTTATCTCCCACCATCCCACCCTGGGGCCCTTTCAGTGACTCTGAAAGGGACAGCCTGACAGCAAAAGGCTGTTCTCATTGGGGTGGCTTCCCCTTGAGACTGGGGATGAGGAAAACCAAACAGCAAGGACCCTTTCCTGGGTGTCCTGGGTGTTTACAGCAGGCCATGTACTAGGGATTAACAAAAACACAACAGAAATAACGAATCTCATTTCACCCTCACAAATGGAAGTCAGACAATACCGCCTCTATTTTACAGATGTGAAAGGAGAGGCCCAAAAGGCTCCAGCAACTTGCCCTAAGTCATATCCCTAGCAGATGGAGAGGCAGGATTCAAACCCAGAATTCCTAACCAGTACCCAGTAGTTCTTCCACAATCTTAACAATTCCCCTCCACTGCCCCTTGGGCCCCTTTTCCCCAGAAGCCTGGCGGGCCAAGACTCACATGGCATGGTGACTGGCAGCCATCAGAAGTGCCTGTCTCAGGGCTATTGTTGTTTCTTTTCTTTCTCCGTCTCACTCGTGTTGGAACAGCAGGGCTGTTTCTTTGTTGAAATTCTGCTAACTGTGTGAAAAAAGAGCAGTAATACTCATGAGAACTACAAGGCCCTACAGTCACAACCTACGTTACAGTTTTTACAAAATGCTGTTACACACCATCTGATTTAATGCCACCAACAACTCTATAAGGTGTGGTCACAATCACTTAGTGACTGAGAGGGATTGATATCATGGCAAAATTTTTAAAAATTTAAAAAAAAAGAAAAGAGAAAGAAAAAGCAATACTAGACCTTAAACTCACTCCTCTGACTCCAAGCTCTGGGATTTTGCCATGAATCAGCAACTGCCAGAGATCAGAATCACAGGCAGAGGTAGAAAAGTCAACATGAAGTAGACAGGAACTATACGCCATGTGGTTTAGAGTCATACAGCCTCACACGTCTGTTAGTGTTAAAAAGAACACCAGCACCTCTCACACTTTTACATCAATGTGCCCTCATGGCAGAAGGCAGCCTTTCATTAAATCTAGGAATTCATCAGAGAGAGGACAACCCAAGTCTCATTTCAGAGACAAGTCTGGTATACTCTTAGAAACCGATGTGACTGTCATCCCTAAGTACATTAATGTTTTTGCTGTCCCAAGAGACTCAAGGGAAACTGATGCTTCTGAAAGACGTCCCATGTTTTTCCCATGGCATTCAAAGTAGCCTAAGTTGAGATGATATGAGGAAGATTCAAGCTGTCAGTTTCAATTTCCCAAGATCTATTCCACAGAAGATGAGCAGATCTCACTCCAGAGGCCACTGACTGAAGGGCAGTCTGGTCCCAGAACCATGGAGAATTTGAAGATGAGGTGGAGAACTCAGAAAGAAACATGAAAGTCTCTCTGGAGAGCAGAAGCCTGAGAGAAAACCAAACCAAACCCATTCTCCCATTGCCACCCAGAGACACTGTCAATGTTTTGAGCTCACGGGGGAAGTGTAGGCTTTTCATACTGTCAATGTCTATGTTAAGGGAGTTAGGCAGCCTGAAGCCTCTTGCTCCTAGGTCCCCCATTCCCCTTCCAGCTGGAAATTTGTGACCAGAGGAGCCAGAAATGGGATGAGAATGCTTAGGGGACTGGGTCCTAAGATCGAAGGCTGGTCTTGTAGCAGTAATGACGGTTCCTAGGGAGACCGCGACATCACTACATTCCACTCCCCCTGGGGGAGGGAACCACATCAAGGAGATGCCTGAGTCACTGCTCCATGATGGGGGAGGGGGATGCAGGGCTGGGACCCAGGTCCTTGGAGATGCCAGCCCAAAGAGCACAGGGAGGTCGAAATGGAGGAGCAGGAGGGGAGGTCAGAGTCTGCAGCAGGGATTCCCAGGAGTCACCAGCCCAAAGTCACCCAGAAATGACTGATGAGGGTGGGAACTGGGAGACCCAGGTCCTTAGAAACATGAGCCCACAGAGCCCAGGGAGGTCAGGTTTGGGGCAGGAAAAGGTGAGGCCCAAGTAGGGAGTGGGGAGCCTCAGGGGTTACACCCTGAGGCTACACCAAAGTCACCTGGGGTGTTGGCAAGGGCAGCGGTTGGGCCCCTTGCTGAAGGGGTGGGGCTGACTGACAAGACATTGGTAGGGGGAGCCCAGAGGCACCGGGTTTGGGGGCCCACCCAGTCAGGTGTGTCTCAGAAGTGTTATGGACTCTGGCAGCGGTCTTGCTGTCAGAGGGGATCTGTGTGCATGTTACCTTTTTCCTAGCCGAGGCTAATTTCATCTTGCGAATTTCTTCTGACATCGCCATGGTGGGTGGGGGAGGGAGGAGCGGTTGGGGAGGGAGGTGGGGTTGGGGAGGGAGGTGGGGTTGGGGCCACATCAGCACAATTCAAGGGAGCACTGGTAAGCAGCTCCACTCTCCTACCAGGCAGTTGTGTTGACTGAGCCAGAGGACGCGGTAACCAGGGCCACACTAGAATGTAGAATAGGGGCGTGGCCTTCGTGCTCCAATCCCATTGGTCAATGAAAAAGATGAAAGGGAAAGGAGGCGTGGCCAGGCAGCAGCAGCTTCGGAGGGACCTGTGGCACCCCAAGGAAAGCTGCCCCTGCAACTCCTGTCCCCGCCCACTCTGAGAGGGGAGGGGACACCCACTCCGGGAGAGAGGGGGCGCCGGCTTTTGATTTTCAACCTTGAAATGTACCAAAGCATGCCGCCCTATGTTTGAAGAGGTGACCTTATGGGGAGATGACAGTGTGGGAAACAATCCTGCCTAGGCCGAGGCCTCATGGAGCCCAGGGTTCCCTAGGGCCAGGAGGTCACTGGAGCTCACCCTGACACCCATTGGAAACCTGAAATCCACACCTGCAGGAGATCAGGAAAGGGGTTCAGCCTCCAATGAACCTGCAGCCAGGTGAGACAGGCACAGGTGGGAGCCAAGCAGATCTCCTGCCTGACCTTCCTCTCCTGCCTCCCCCAAGCAGAGGAGAAGTGACAGCTGCCCATCAGCCCATTGCCTAGATTGAAGCCACTGAATCTGGATCCCAACAGGCCCAAGGCAGTCCTGTCTCTGGTGAGGACCTGGCAGACAGATGTGATGTTCCCAAGTGTCTCTATAAACCTTATTGTGGATAATCAAGGAAATGGGCAAGACCATCATGCTCAGCCAAGAACCTGGCAGGCACCAGGGAAACCAGGGGCAGACAGAAGTCAGTTTCATTCCAGGCCTGGCCCTGGAAGGGTGGTGGACTGGGGGCAGCCACAATGAAGGGGAACGGATGGCCATGGGCTGTGTGGCCAAGGCTGTCAGCTCCTGCAGCACCTGCGGAATATCTGCCCAGGCCTGGCTCTGCACTCACGCTTGTGCCTGGAGTCACAGGTGCCTGGACAGTGGTCTAAAGGAGGGATGGTGGAAGGAAAGGCACTTGTGGCCCCATGTGGGCACCTAAGCATGGGACAGAGGGGCACCCTGCCCCAAAGAGATCATACAGGCCAAGAACTCAAGCAGATGTACCCCCTGGTCCTGGGTCACATCAATTAAGTCAGAGCCTGTCCTGACCCTGAAGTTCAGCTCAGTCTAGTTGAGACTCATAAAGAGATGTCAGTGCAGGGCAGGGGGCCCGGCCCAGCCTGCGACGTCCAGCAAAGCTGTGTGCTGGACAAGAATCTCTGAAGATGAGTGCAGGTCAAGGACAGCTGTGTCTGGGCAGGGAGTGGGGGAAATGCCCAGGGGGCAGGAGCCCTGAGGACCTTTAACTAGGTGGGATGCCAGGTCTGCACGTGCAGAAGAGAAGGTGACATTGCACAGCTGTCTGAGGCCAGGCTGTAAACCTAGGGACCACCTTGTTTAGCCTAAACCATGCTGCTGCTCAGTCACCATCCTTCAAATGCCAGAGGCAGGGCTGGGAGGGCCCCCAGACCCCTCTTCCCTCCCTCCCTAAGCTGGTTCTCATCTCTCACCTGAAGGAAAGTGAAGCCTTCTATGGGTCACAGACTGCCGGGTTCTCTGTCACCTGGTGGAAGGGCCGGGGAAGCTGCCGCTGGGCGAGGAAGAACCCAGGTACCAGAGCTAGAAGGGCTTTGGGAAAGCCTTGAACAGGGCCAGGACCTGAGCTCTGCCTGGCTATGGTGACTCTGAGCCAGGCAACCCTACGATAGTCTCAGTCTGTCACTCTGTCTCACGGGGGATGTCGGCATTATTACCTTTCGAGTCAAAGTAGGTAATCCAGGGAAACCAGAGTTCGCAGTGTGAAGCCCGGACAGCCGAGGCCCTTGCCCTTCAGGTTACAGGCATCTGGGTCCTTGTCTAGATCCTCATATGCCATCCAGAGACCCAACCCTAGGGACAATTCCTCCCAGCTGGTAGCAGTGAGTCAATCCTTGTACTCACCCCACTAAAAGCTCTGAAATGAGGAGGCCTGCGGGTGAGGGTGAGACTCTGCAGGAAAAGGTTCTCAGTGGTAAGGAAGGTTTGAGCTGTGCCTTAGGGTAGCCAAAGGGGTAGGTGACAGGCCTCCAGGCTTGGTGTCCACTGGACCTGACCACTCGGGGAAGGGCTGTTCTTGACTCTGCAATTAACATACAGACTACAACAGAGTTGTTCCCCTGCTCTGCCTCAGTTTACCTCTCTCAGCTGAGCAGAGAAGGGATAATTGCTTCTCATGTGGGCCACAGGAGAAAACAAAGCCCTGAGTTCCACAGGAAGATAGGTGGGCCGTGTCCAAGGGAAGACAGACCTGGAGAGTATTTTATGTCTTCAGGGTGGCAGAGGGACATGGAGAAGATGTCTCCTTTGTGGGCAAAGGAGAAGGGAAGATAAGCAGAGAGGCGTTGGACACCTGCCACACTCCGACCTCCCCCACCCCACACCAGGCCCATTCCCACATAGCCCCCGACTCAGGAGGCACCATTCTCCTTAGGGTCGGTGGGACTTCCCGGCTGAGCTGGGGAAGCTGACAGTCCGGATTCATCAGGGGCAGCACGTAGTGTAGGTGATGCGCTGGACGGAAGTGGAGAGGGGAAACGGGAGCGGTGGTGTCAAGTCTGGGGCTGCCAATGTGGTACCTGCCCTGGCCGTGGGCAGACCATGCTGCTCCACCCTGCTGCATGTGGCCTCTAATTCTAAGGCATCTGAGTTCCAGGCCAGGACTGGAGCCATACTCCCTTTGGGGGCAAGGGACACAGTCCTCACAGACTGCACCTGTGTTTTGGGGAAAGGCAGCTGCACAAATGAACAGGAGGGGCCCTGCTGGAAAGTAGGAACGGGCCTGGACTACTCAGACCTGCCTCTGTGACAGGAGGGTCCCAGCCTCCAGTCAGACTACTGAGAAGAAAGCTCACTCAGCCAGGGAGTGGGGGGCGTGTCCTGCAGGATCCCTGGATTCTGTAGCCCCTCCCACCCAAGTGAGGTCCAGAAAAAAGATGCAGAAACAGCAGGTGCTCCTCCCAGCTGCCCGCTGCTTCTTGGTGTGGCCTCAGGGACCCCAGATGAGTCAACATGGGGCTGTCAGCAGCTGGGAGCGGGGGAAAGCTGGGTCCCCAGGGTGGATGCCCAGCAGGGACATGCAGGTGTTGGGAGTGCTGGGTCCTCAGGGCTGACCCCTTTCTGCCCAGGGGGCCTTGGTGACATGCCTGCTTCTGAGCTTAGCCCCAGGAGTCAGGGCCTGGTGGCAAGTAGCCTCTGCTTGTGAAGACAGTCCTGGGGTCGTTACCCCTCTGCCCAGGCTCAGGCATCCAGGCTGCGGAAGGCCAGCATTCAGAAAGAAGGGCACTGTGGTTGTGGGTTCCCCAGCAGTCAGGGGCCTTGGTGAACAGAGCCCCCTATGAGGGGATGAGGAGGAAGAGAAACTGAGCTGTGCCTTCCCCCAGCTGAGATCTGTGGTACAAGTCTCCAGAGGGGACCCTGCAGGGAGATCAGCATGAGAGGAACCTCTGCAGATGCCTTTGCGCACCTCCTCTGCAGGGCTGGGCCAGCTGGAGGTTTAGGGTCCACATGAGACCGCCGGGCTGGGCGCCACAGGAATGAGGCTTCCTGCTGGCGTTGCAAGGAAAGCTAGTCAGGTGTGCAGAGTGGCACCGCTGAGCTGGCAGAGACCTCCCCGCCAGTTCCAGGAATGCTGGAAACCAGGCTGCCAGGGGATTGGGGCCATAAGTGCCCCGGAGACCAGGGGAGAGGTCTCAGCTAATTCCAGATGGGATAGCATCCATTCACAGGTCTAGAAGAAAGCTCCAAGCTGGCAACACACAGAAGGGGCTGGGCTCCCAAGGGCTGAGGCCAGGGATGTCCACTGGCCTCTAGGGAAGCACTGGGCAGATCAGGTGGGGGCCAGTTCTTTGGTACCTAGGGACCCTTGCAGCCTGCTGGGCTTAGAGGTGCCAGGGTGGCAGCAGGCAGGGCTGGGGAAGACCCGGCCTCTGGAAGCCGGGGTCCTGGTACGTCCACGGGGCCAGGAAGTGACAACCTGGGGATGGAAGCAAACCCTGAACAGGGACAACCTGGATCCATCCCAAGGGAGGTAGCAAACCTTGTGGAAAGGTAGGCGGGTCCCCAGGTCTGTTGGAGAAGCGGGGCCTCTTAGAGGAGGGGCTGTCTGCAGGGTCTCTTACCTACTCAAGGCAGCTGGGAGCCCGGGCCTCACTGACGGGTCGTCAAGGCCTCAGCAGAAGGGGCAGAGAAGCCCTGGCTTCCTGTGCAGTGCAGCCCCAAGCTGAAGCCCCAGCCCCTCTGAGAGGGTGGTAGGGTTGGGTCTCAGAGGTTTATAGGGTTTGAGAAGGTGCAGCTACCAAGCTTGGGGCCCCAAGTTGTGAATTACAGGCAGGAGAGGAGCTAGGAGATACAGGAGGGGCCTGCCTTGGTCCCATCATCCGGATCTGAGGAGGAAAGGGGTCTGCAGGTGCCTTTATGAGAGCGTCTTGGAGAAAAAAGCAGGGATCCCCTGCCAAAGCCAGTAATCGCAGAAGAGGCTGCTTGAGGTCCTTCCAAGGGGCTTAGCATCCCTTCCTAGGAGCCTGGGTTTGAATTGCCCAAAAAAATCACAAGGACCTGGGAGCTGGGCCCCTCTTGGACAGAGGCAGGGTGTGGGAGGCAGTGGCCAGGCAGGCTGAGGCCAGGGGCCGTGGCAGGAGGGGTGGAGGGCTCATCGACACAGGCACCCCTCAGTGGGCCACAGCTAGAACGCCTAGAGCTGGGGTCCCCATGGAGGAAGCTGTGTCCTCAAGGAGGCCCCCAGCTTCCAGCCAGCCTGGACAAGGGGTCGGGGTGCAGCAGGGAAGGAGAGAGAGACAGGAGGGGCTCGGCAGCGCTCCCCCATTTCCATCTCCAGGAGCAGACAGGGCCCTGGAGGAGCTGCACGGGGTGCTCCCCACTGGGGGTGTCTGGAGGTAGAGTCTTGGGAGCTGCCCAGAGAGCACAGCACACAGCCAGCAGCAAGGCCATGTCCACGGGGAAAAGCGGCCCCGCTGCCGTCCTCCCACAGCAGCTGGGGCAGAAGGCAGAGCCATGGACTAGATGCCCAGCCCTGCCCACAGTCCCTGGCACTCTTGTTTCCTCTGGCCATGGGACCGTGTCTGCCCAACAAGCCCCACTAAAGGGTGGAGGTGAGCATAGGGAAGGTGGGCATGGCAGACCCTGGGGCTCGGGCTGAACCTGGCTCCTGTCTCCCTGGCAGGTGCTCCAACAGGGCCCCTGAGCAGGATTGGAGGCGGTCGGAGAAGGACCAGTGGGAGCGGCTGGCAAAGAGCAGGTGGCAGCGGGCTGAGCTGGGCGGCCGTCTGTGGGCAGCGCTGGAGGCCCTGTCAGAGCAAGCCCCGGTGCTGCAGAGGAGGGAGAGCAAGCTGGGACTCGGCTGGGCCCTGAAGCGGAAAGTGAGGCCCTGTCCTCCCTCACCCCACTTCCTGGGCTTTCTGCAGCTGAAAGGAGGTCCCCTGAGCTAGCAAGGTCCCCTTAGCAGGCTGAAAGCTCCGGAATGCTCAGAACCAGTGTCCACATCTGGTGCCACCTTCTCAGGGAGGCTTGCTGGGGTCTGTGGTACTGGAGGAGAAAGGGGAATGGAGGCCCAGCAGGGCTGCGTGCTGAAGAGATGCCACCTCTGAATGGCGCCCCTGGAAGGGTCCAGGGTGTGGCCTGAGAGGCATATGCGGGGGGTGGCTAGGGATACTGCTGGAGGCAAAGCAAGGGCCAGGGTCCCTGTATTCCCCCAGGGAGAGTCTGAGGGAGGCAGAGACTGGTTTTAGCTCCATAGACTGAAGAGCTTCCTCAGAAGCCCAATCTCCCTTAGTGAAGCAGGTGACCCCCAGAGAGAGGGAGATGGCTGTGCAGGCTGAGGCTTCTTGGGAAGGTTACCAGCATCCCTGCCTCGGGTCAGGAAAGGGACACCCTGTGATGGCCTAGCTACCCAAGCCTTCAGTGACTCCATGTCTCAGCTCACAGCTGGCCCTCCTGGAGCCACTGCTCCCTCCCAGGCCTGAGGGACCCTTGGGACCCAGCTGACAACCTCATGTCTGCCCACCCTTTAACATTCCACAGCAGTCCTGCTGGCCTCCACCCTGAAGCCATCAGCAGCTGGGGTGGACAGGCGGTGTGTCTCAGGCCCAGCTAGAGGCAGAGGGTGCCCAGCTGCAGCCTGTCGTGACAGATCACAGCCAGGCAGCCCCTCAGGGTCCCAGGGCACAGTCCCTTGTCCACAAGCCAGGGCACAGGTCCATGCTGGGCTGTCAGCTGGGCCCCTGGCTGCTGGTCCGCCTTCCTTACCAGAGGCTGCAGACACTGCCCTGCCTGGTGGGAGGCAGGAAGCTTAGGCACACCTGGCAGAGGCTCCGTGCTGCCTGCACTCCTCCCCCAGCAGGCGGTGTGCTCCCTGGCCCGCCTGGAGGAGGAGAGAACCCAGGGACAGGCGGAGTGCAGGAGGCCAGACCAGGACATAGAAGACAAGTGAGTGGGGCTGGGCTGTGGGGTGGGGGCGGGGTGGCAGGGAACAGGCAGACTCCCCCTTCTACTCCCAGGATCCTGCTGCTGCAGACAGAAGTGAAAAGGCCCAGCGGCATGCAGGCCAGATAAGACAACAGTCCCTTGGCCCGGATCCCAGCCTGGGGATCCCACATGTGGGTGCATGGCAGGCCCTGAGCACTGGCCCTGCTGTACCTTTGACCTTGCCCTACACTTTATTCTCTGGTCCTCATTCTTGGAGCATTATCTGGGGAAGGAGGGCACTGCAGGGGCTTAGTCCAGCCCAGAGAGGGATCTTCTTCCAACATTTGGAAATAGGCTAGGATCATTCAGCGATGTCCCTTCTGGTTGAGATGGGAAGACTGAGACCCGAGGGCAGAGGAGAGCTTGTTCAGAGTCGCACCCTGAGTCGGGGAAATGACCAGGCCACAGCATGCCCTGAGGCACTGAGAGTCTGCCAAGACCACCCCAGTGTGTTCTGGAGGCTGGAAGGAGACCCCAGGATTCTGGACCGAGTGTATCCGCAGGAGATGCTGGTGCCAGGCCTGCAGATCCAAGGGCAGAGCTGGGATGGAGGCAAGGCCCAGGAGCTTTGGGACAGGGTCACCATGTGGGCATCTGAGACCCCTGCCCAGCCTCAGGACACAGTCCGTCTGCAGGAGCAGTTGCTGATGCTCACCGAGGTTGGTCAAGACAGCTGGCAGGGGCAGCCTCACAGGGAAGGGAATCTGGGCATCAGCTGATCCAGGCCACGCCCATGTGTACCGGGGGTAGAGGCAAGGGTCCCTGGGCTCTGCTCCTAGGGGATTCCAAGGTAGGGCAAGGGCCTCTAGGGGAACAGGGGAAAGGAAAATGACCAGGAGAGACAGATTCTAGCAGGATGTCCACACAGCGAGACTCCAGAGAGCACCATCCTCATCCTCATGTAACTGGCTCCCCTGCCAGTGTGCAGCCAGGCGCTGGTCCAGAGTGGAGCCTGGAGTGTGGAGGAGCCTCTGCGGGCTGTGGTGGTCAGAGAGTCCTCCTAAGAGGGTTGAGACCCAGAGGAAGAGGAGATCAGGGCCTCCGAGACCAGGGAGCTGCGTGGGTAAAGGCCCGAAGGACAGCTGGAGCCCCACAGCCCTGGTGGAGGCTGAGCCACAACTCGGTGGGGTGGGGATCTTCCCAGGTGAACAAAGGGCTCTCAGAAGAGCTTGGCGGGAGCCACCAGCAACTAGGGGCCTGCTTGGAGCAGCTGCAGCATCTGCAGGGAGAGCATATGGTGCATATGGTGCTGGGGGGCTGTGTGCAGGCCCCGGAGGCGGAGCGCACCTGGCTACCCGGGGAGAAGGCAGTGCTGCCAGCGGCACTGGGTGTGGCACGGGCCAAGAGGCCTGCTGGGTGACTGCTCGGGCCAATCCTCAGAGTGTCCAAGCCAGGCTGGGGTGGGTGCTCTGCTTTCACAGTGGGTGAGATGGCCCTCTCAGCAGGCAGAAGGCCAGCCTCTGTCACCAGCTGGCCGAGGGGGAATGGCCCAGAGCCCTAAACCCGGAATCACGTGTCCAGAGCCAGTCTCCCTTACCCAGCTATCAGCGCTCCTGCTGGTCACATTCTGGCTCTTTTATGAGGAGGGAAATCTTTCAGCTTCAAGAAGTCCTGTCTTACCTACACATGGCCAAGCCCCTCCTGCTGGCCCAGAGGCAGGTGGGAGGTGGGGGTGAGACGACCTTGGCTGCTGGGTACAAGTCAGGGTGCTTGGGAGAAGCGCCCAGTACAAAGGGGTTCTGTGTGCGGGGAGCCATGAAAGAGGCATCTCTGCCCCACTCCCCCCAGTCCATAGGACATAATGAGAAAGGAATCATTAAAAGGGAGTGGGGTGGGGTGATCTGAGGTCCACGCTCTACCTGTATCCCATTTCTTCCAGTCCACGAGAGGTGCAGGAGGCACCAGTGCCCCTCAGGAAAGAGCTAGAGGCACAAGACTCACATCCCAGGCTTCGTGAGGAGATGGCGCAGTACTGGAAGGCACTCTGGCACCAGGTGGCAGTTGCCCTGGAATTTCAAGAGGAGGAACTGCAGAGACTCCAGAGGCAGAGTGGGACCTGGCCTCCCCAGGTGGGCACTCCCTGGCTCCCTCCTTCTCCACCTCCCAGAATCCCCTTCTCCCCATTGTCTTCCCCACTGCCCAGTCTTTCCCATGCTAGGGACTGGGGGGAACCAGCTAGTCTCTTACCCCTCCTCAGGATGTCCCCATCTTGATCCTATGCATCCTTCCGTTTTCTGCCTTTTCCTCATCGTGGCTCATCATTCTCCATCCATGTGTTCAGCACGCATTTACTGAGCATCTACTACATGCCTGGCCATCTTCTGTGTGCAGAAGCAAGGTCAAATCTGATCACTCTTTGTCCTCAACAGCTTATGGTTTGGAGGCAACAGTCATTGAGCATTTATTATTGATTTAATTATTAACAATTTATTATTGATTATTGTTTTTTGATTGATTGATTAATTGGGTCAGGGTCTCACTCTGTCACCCAGGCTGGAGTGCAGTGGTGCAATCATAGCTCACTGTAGCCTCAAACTCCTGGGCTCAAGTGATCCTCCGGCCTCAGGTAGCTGGGACTGCAGGCAGACATCAACATGCCTAAGTTTTTTATTTTTTATGTTTGTAGACATGGAGTCTCACGACATTGCCCAGGCTGGTCTCGAACTCCTGGCCTCAAGCAGTTCTCCCGCCTGGGCCTCCCAAAGTGCTGAGACTACAGGCACGAGCCACTGTGCCTATTTTGCAAGCAATGATAACTTAATGAGCCAGATGAGGGAAGAGGCACTATGGGAGCTGGTTAGGGGTGGCAGATAAGAGAGTCCTTCCCAGAGAAGGTGTTTCTGAGCCTCTGAACCCTCACACAGGATAGACTGGCATTTTCCAGGAGGACGGAGGGAATGAAGGGCATTTCAGCAAGAGGAAACTACACGTGCATACATCAGAGATGGAGGAGGAGTGTTGTAAACAGTCCCTGATCAGATGAGAGGCGGAGTGGCTGAGGGGCTACTATGGACGTGGGACAGGGGCCAGATCCAGGGCTTAGACGTCCCAGCTCCTGTCCACCTGACTTCAACTCCAGCTTGGTGGCTGCCTTCTCCTGGCTAGCATCCCTTAGTCTTCTGGGCAAGTGTATGTGTGCATGGGCAGACAGACACACAGACACACATGTACACACCCCCCAAGGTACACATCAGACATGTGCATGCACTCCCAGATATGCACACACAGAGACACAGAGATACAGACACCAGCCAGGTGCCTGGGAGCCATAGGGAGGTAGAGCTGTAAGGACCCCATGTGGGATCCACTTCTGCCAGGAGGCCCCCGACTAAATCTGACCTGCTGATCTGGAGGGAAGGAAAGGGAGAGAAAGCTTAGCTGGCCTTGGGCCTCATTCAAGGCCGAGTTGGTCCAATTCAGTGTATCTCAGACGGGTACAGAGCTGTGCTCAGAGGGGGGCGGTTCCTTATGTTTGCAGTGTAGTCTGCCACTGTATATTTGTACGGAAGAAAATCTCAGCGTTTTCTTTTCTTTCTTTTTCTTTTTCTTCTATGTCTCAAACCAGACCGGGAGCGGGAGAGGATATATCCTCAGGGCCTGGATGGGCTATATTCTCTGGTCAAGTCTGAGGACCTGCAGTGGACAACGTCAGTGAGAAGGTAGTGGAGTGACAGAGGGCTGGGCCCTTGGCAGATTCGTCTCGTGGCAGGAAGTGGTGCCAGGGGAGCCATATGCACGTAGCCTGCACGTGACACATAAGCCTCTGCCAATTTGGGCCCCACGTGCAGGGCCTTCCAGCCCCTCGGAGACTTTCAGGCCATTTCTACTCCCTCCCTAGACCCCTGGAAGGCCAACCCAGGACTCACCTTCTACGGGCAGGTGGGGGCCCGGGGCCCTGGGCCTGTCCAGCGAGGGTGGCCTACAGTGCAGACCCTGGGTTACGCTCAGGGGTCCTTCGCAGAGTGGCTGATGGACCAAACAAGCAGTGCTCTTCCAGCAGGGCGAGGCTCTCGGAGGTGGGGCAGCAGCTGGATAGGGTCTGGACGAAGCCACATTGCATCAACGTCAGACTGACCGGAGGTTCAAGAGCTCAGCACCCAGTGCTCCCAGGGGCTCTGGCATGCTCCCCCTCCAGTCCCATCCCCAGCCTCAAGCTCCTCCACCCAACCCTTTCTGGGTCTCTATCTCAGTCTGCCTCCAATCCCAGGATTTAGTAGTCTGCACTGTCCCCGGATTAGTGGATAAGATTGTGGGTTTCAATCTTGGCTTCAAGATATACTAGCTGTGCGACCTTGGCCAGTTACTCTGCCTCTCTGGGCCTTACCTGCAATAGTGAAAATAATGGTTATCCTGAAGAGGGTTACATGGACAAGCACGTGAAAACACATGGTGTTCGGTCACGTGTTCGCCACTACGATTGCACACGTCCTGCTGCTGCAGGTGTGGCCACTTGGAGGAGAAAGTTCCCCTCGAAGTCAGGGTCCTTTTGGGGCCAGGGAGCTGCCACAGGGGCTGGATTCCACTTACCCTCTGTGTGAGATTCCTGGGGCTGTGGTGACAAAGTGCTGAAGACCGGGTAGCTTCAGCGGCAGGCATTCACTGTCTCCTGGTTCTGGAGGCTGCAGTTGGGGTCAGGGTGTCAGGAGGGTTCCTTCCTTCTGAGGGCTGTGAGGGAGGGTCTGTTGTAGGCCTTGCCCCCTGCTTCTGGTGCTTTGCCAGCAGTCTTTGACACTCCTCCCCGGATGTCCGCATGGCGACTCTCTGTGTGTCTGCCTGTGCCCACGTTTCCCCTGTGTATAGGACTCCAGTCACCTTCGATTAAAGCCCAGCCTCGTTTCTTCATTTTAGCCTGATTACCTCTGTAGTGCTCCTGTCTCATCACGAGGTACTGAGCACTTCAATATATCTCGTGTTGTTGTTGCGGGGGATACAGTTCAACCCAGATGCCCCCCGTTTGCTTCCTGCTACCTTTCCGGCTGGGTGGTTTGGACTGGGTGCGACTTGAGACCTCAGGGCCCCAGAGCTCCCTCTTGTTTCTCCCCTCATGTAACTACAGGACCCTCACACCACTGCGGAGAGGCCAGAATGCACACAGGAGGAGCTGCGGTGAGACCGGGTGGGCGCTGCCCTGTGAGCCCCCTGCGTCCCTAGTCCACATGTCAGCCAGGGAGGGCATGCCCGGGCCCAGGAAGAGATCCGCTCCTCTCTGAAGCCTGGACCTGCCCAAACCCAAGAGCTGTGTGAGGGTTTCTGTGGGCGTGAGACGATGGGGGAGCGGGGCCCCTGGATGGGCATGCAGCCTGCCCCTCCCCACCCCTTCCTGGCCAGCCACAGGAGCAGGCTGCAGGCTCTGGAGACGGAGAACAACCAGCTGGCTGCTGGGATCCAGAGGTGGAAGGTGGGCAGGAGCTGGGCTGCCTGGGGTGGCATGAGGTAGCCCCATCTGCAGTCAGGGCCCCCAAGGAACCCTCCTGAGGACCCTAGAGCCCTCCCCACACCTGAAGTCAGGGGCCTTGCGGATTAAAGTGGGAGGCCGGGTTCTGCCGCAGCCACAGCCCTTCCCCTTGGGGCCTCAGCCTCCTGTGTGTTCAATGGGTCCCAAGCTCTCCACCCTGGCCCCGAGTACCGGGGTGTTCAGGCCCAGGGGTGTGGGGCCTGTGGGGCTGCCACGGCCCATCTGTCCATGAACGGAAAGGCTCTTACCCCCAGCGTGAGCTGGGAACCTGCAGGCAGGAGCAGGACTTTGGCTGCCACCGGCACCAGAACCCTCAGCACCAGCTGCTAGGGGTGAGGGTCAGGTGCCCCAGGTCAGGGTGGCCTGAGCGTGCCCACCCAAGGACAGGGACATAAGAATCTGGTCAATTTTGACAGGCTGAAGGGAGGGCAGCCACCCCGGAGCAGCCCAAGTGCTCCCGAGTCCTTGCCACCTGCCCTCTTCCCACAGGGCAGGTCCCAGCAGAGACCCCAGGCCGGCTCCCAGAGTCTGCAAGTGGAAGGTGGGCCCGACTTCGCCCTTCCCCACTCAGCCCACTGTGGCTTCTCTGGGGGACTACACAGGCATTTACCTGAGTGGGCACCAGCCAAGCCCCACCCACCAGCCTCCAGCCCCACAGCCTGTGGATGGAGCCGCTGGGAGTCCTCGCTGGCCCGTCAAGGGACAAGGGTTCCACAAACACCAATGAAGATTCTAGTCCCAGCTCTGCCCCAAACTGGCCAGTGGCCTTGACCAAGCCCCTCACTGTGTCTGGGGCTCACCTGTACAGTTCCATCTGCACACGGGGTGTGGGGCTCACCTATACAGTTCCATCTGCACACTGGGTGTGGGGCTCACCTGTACAGTTCCATCTACTCACTGAGTGTGGGGCTCACCTGCACAGCTCCATCTGTACACCGTGTGTGGGGCGGGGATGGGCCTCTGGGCAGCTCTGACACTCAGTGATCCTATGACCCCGTTCAGTTTACCCACTGGCTCACCATCCCTGCCGCACAGTCTCCCTATCTCTATAGAACTGGGCCTTTGCCTCAGCTGAGTTGCCTAGCAGCCTTGGCGGAGCTAATGATGCACAGAACGGGGTGGGGGCAAGGGAACAGGGTCCTGCTATCCCTGCCACACCCAGCAGCATCTCTGCCTCCCAGCCCCCATGAGCTATGGGAGCCCAGGTGTGCCAAGGAGCCGGAATCTGCAATGTGGACCCCACCAGAGGCAGATAGGTGAGCTCAGGGACAGAATGGGGTGGAGCTGGGACAGTCCCCTCCAGGAATGAGAGATCAGTCTGGGGGTGGGTCCTCCCAGGCAGAGATCTTGGCTCTGGTCTCCTATTGCCATGTGGACTGGGCTCTCTGGGACCACACTGGGCCCTTGTTTCCCGGAGCTGGAGGAGCTGAGACAGGGGCCATGTGGAGAAGAGAAGGCAGGGCCTGGGCCAGGGAGCAGGGGATGGAGTAGGGAGCCTGGCTTGTGGATCCAATGATTCGGGATGGGGGCTCTCCAGTGAGCACTGAGGGCTCAGCCTAGACTCATCCCAGGCCTGGAACCCCGGCTACCCTGCCCTCAAGCAACCTCAGCGTGGCCCTGAGAGGGGACGAGGTGTCACTCCTTGGCAGGGTGAACTCACCAACTGATGTGATGAAACAAGTGTGTTAGGGACCAAGGCTTCGTGGGCTCAGTCCCGTGCAGGACGTGGAGATGGAGGGCGACGTGAGCTCCTGGGCTGTGCAGTACTGTCTGTACAGGGAGCGCTGTGGGACTCAGGGGCAAAAGGAAAGAGGGAATTGCAGGATGTGGGGTTCAGGGCACGTGTTGGGACTTCAGTCACCCATGCAGCTTGGAGGGGACGGTGTGCCCTCTCGCTCTGTCCCCTGGTGCTGTTCCGTCAGCACTGCACCTGATGCCGCCATGGTGGCCTCTTCTTTGTGGCGAAGCACAGTCCCCAGGAAGGCCCCTGTGAGGCTAAAGCTCTGAACCCAAGGGGGAGCGAAGTTCTTGGGGAGGCCCCAGATCAAGACACGTGCCAGCCCCACCCTCCTCCGTCCCAGACTTCTTTGCAGGAGGTGGGCTCAGAGCTGGCCAAGATGCGGACTGAGCTCGAGAAGGTCTGCAATGTGCTGGAAGCTCAGCAGCCGGGCCTGGAGGCTGCCCAGGACCAGGCACTCAGCAGCTGCCCTCCCCACCCCCTGACCGCCCTGTGCTTCTGACAGGCCTACACGGCCCCACAGGCTCCTCCATGCCCGATCCCTGGTGCCCACCATGACCATTGACTTTCCCTTCCCCACACTCCATCGGTCAAGTTCCTCCCAAGCCCTCGCTGCCCAAGGGGAGGGCTCAGCCTGGAACCTGCTCACTGCCTCCCTGACCCATCTCCAAGCTGGTGGAGAGCCTCCCTGGGAAACTGAGGCTGCAGCAGCCACTGAGGGCTCCGGAACAGGAGCTGGTAAAGTGATGACCACAGGGTGAGGCGTGCCTGCATTTGAGAAAAACCCAATCCTCCCTCCCAGAGATGCTCCCTAGGCCCCACAGCTCTTCTTCTCTGACGACCTGGGGCAGGGGGCAGGGGCATTTAGGGACACTTTATGAAGGCTCCCCTCTCATCCCCTCAGGGGTTAGGAGGGTGGGGCTGTGCAATGGCCTGAGGCCTGACCAATCTCCTGGTCTGCCTTCTTCTCTCAGAAGATGGGAAGCCAGGGAAAGCAGCAGCAGGAGAGGGCATGGCAGGGTAGGCTGTGGGCACAGGGAATCAAGCCATCTGGGCCTCTGGACCTGGTGCAATGGATGGAAGGAGAGCCAAGAACTTTTACATGTCACCATCCACCACTCCCCGGCTTGGCCAGTGTGAGCAAGTCTTGCCTTCACTAAGCCTCAGTATCCTCTGTAAAATGGGAACACGGACAATACCTAGCACATGGGATTAATGTGAGAATGGCATGATGGCATGGGACACAATGCACCGGGGACTGGGCCTGTTTTCTCCATCCTCCTGTTTCCTCTGTATCTGGGCTCCAGATAGGCTGAGTCAGTACCAAAGTCACAAAACCATGTATGAGTGCCCAGGGGAGGCTACATACTGGCGTTAGTCACAAAGCCTATCTTATGCAATGTTCAATCCACAAGGCTTTGTTTGCACTTTTTGTGGTATTCGGGAAATAGCCTGATGTAACGTGGAGTGGCCAATGACAGACAGTACAGCACGTTCCCCAGGCTTGCGACAGCTACTTGCTTGTGTTTAAATGCTGTTTCATTCTGACCAAGGTCGTCATCTTTGAGCTCCTGCAATAAGGAGCTTGATGGGGTGGGGGATGTTGTCCTTTGCCTCAGCTGCTTTTTGGAGACTTCCATAAAGAGCATCGGAGCCGCTGATGGGGTCTGGGAGACCCTAAGAGTTCTGACCATCAGCTAAGAATTGTGTCCTTGGGGAGCGGGAGCTGCAGCAGCTCTGAGCACCAAGGACTCCTGCACCAGGAGGACGAGAGCGGAGCCTCCATCCACCTCCACCTTGCAGCCCCTGCAGGTTGCATATGGGGTCCCTCTAGATGGGGTGGGGAATGACCTCCGCACAGTTCTTCTGTCCCTTGGCCTTCTTGCGTGCAGATTGTAGAGGGGAAACAGAAGGATGGAAAGGCCCTTCCAGCTTGGGCTTTTGCTGGTTTAAAATGGATTCCTGAACCAGCCTCCCTGTCCGTGGACAGAACCGAAGCTACCCCCTGCCCTGCCTCTCTGACCCCCATGGTATGAGTCTCTGTCTCATCTGCCCCCAGATTCCAGACACAGCCCTGGAGCCAAAAGAAGTGCATCTGAGAAAAGTTGGAAGCCAGGGGCAGTGCTCAGGCAGTGTGGAGGCTGTGCCCAGAGCCAGCAGGGGACACATTCACAGCCTCACTCTGTAGCACAAGAGATTGAGGTCAGGCCCTGTACCCCCGCCCAGTGAGCTGAGGGGTCCTGGCATCAAGAGGCTGGATTGAGAGGCCTCAGGGAGTCAGGAATGATGGCTCACGCCTGTAATCCCAGCACTTTGGAAGGCTGAGGCAGGTGGATCACTTGAGCCAGGAGTTCGAGACCAGCCCAGCCAACATAGGGAACCTTTGTCTCCACACACACACAAAATACAAAATTAGCTGGGGGTGGTGGCACATGCCTATAATCCAAGCTACTCAGGAGGCTGAGGCAGGAGAATTGCTTGAACCCAGGAGGTGGAGGTTGCAGTGAGCCAAGATTGCACCACTGCACTCCAGGCTGGGCTATAGTGAGACTGTCTCAGGGGGAAAAATAAAAGGCCTTAGGCAACCGCAGCTGGGCAAGGACTTGGGAAGAGGGGAGGCCCCTTTGGCTGTGCCTTCAGCCCCCAAGGCCAGGGTTTCTATGAGGCCTGAAGCAGGAGCCTGTCATAGGCAACTGCAGTCAGAGGCCTCCCTGGCAGAAACCACTCCTTGTCCTCTGCCTGCCACAGGCTGGAAATGTCCATGTTGGCACAATGTTGCCAATATGGCTCTTGGTGGATGAGATGGCCTGGCACTTTCCCAGGGGACCCTAGGCTAGGAGTAGAGCTGGGCATCCAGTGCCCAGCACCAGAGGAGGTGCTGCAAGCCTGTAAGCCTGGTTGGCCCAATTACTGCCTTAATGCCATAGCACAGTGCCACCATGGACCCTCTGTCTTGCCAGGGAAGGCCTTAGGCACTGGGTTTAGACATTTCAAAGTGAGTTCTTATTCACTCGTATCTTCGATCACACTACAGTCCCCATTTCACAGACAAACTGCCCAGAGAATTTGTCATAGGTCACACAGCAAACAAGCAGCTAAGCCCCCTGGGCCCCTAATCTGTCCCAGAAACGTGGTTTCTCAGCTGTTCTGAGCTTGCCAGCGTGACCATGCTCAGGAGCTACAGGCAAGGCGGGCTGAGGCTTGGTATCACCCTCGAGGTCATCTGGCCATTCTTCTAAACGCTCCTCCCCAGCCAGCTTCCGCTGGCTGAGCCATGTGCCCCCAGAACCCCTCTCAGTTCTGTTGCCGGCCCCTCCCTCCATCTGCGCCTTCACTGACGCAGTCTCTCAGAGGAGGGCTCTTCGGTACCGTGGAGGGACAGGACACCTCTGGGAATTCGTGCCCATCTGTGTTCATGCTGAGTTCTTCATGACCACTCCTTCCAGCCTCAGCTGGAATCCAGGGCTGGGTACCGAGCCGTACTGGACCAGTGGGCCCCCTCCTGGGATCGCAGGACTTGGAGCAGAAGAGTCCCTCCAGGGCTGAAGACTGGACACAGAAAACTCGGGAACTCTCAGCTGTCCTGTTTTTCACCTCGTGGAATAAGCTGGACTTCAATGAGAGCGAATGAAGCTGACAATTCCCAGAAACTGGAATTGGGACGGTGAGACTTTAGTTCAGCCCGGGGCGGCCTCATGTGTGGAGCTGATAAACGAGCTTTGAGGTGGTCGTCAGAAGGAGGGGAATACCCTCCGCGGGCAGAGCTTCCCGGGTTCCGGGCCCTTCCTGACACCGGCACAGGGTCCAGCTGCCCTTGGGCTCGACCGCACACCCTGGATCCAAGATTAAATCTCTCTCCTCTCTGACGCCATTGGCCTGACTGGCTTCGGTTACTTTGTACAAAGAGCCCTTGCTCAGCCAATAACCCCGGTGCTGCTCCAAAGGAGGCCCCTGTCATCCTGGAAGCCCCTCCCTGAGGCCGGGTACCCACTTGCCTCCCGTAGCCCGCAGCCCGCAGCCTCGCCCCAGCTCCAGTTCCTGCTCGTTTCCCTGCCCACCCCGCCCAGTGAGGAGATCCGCGCCCCTCGTCTGTCCCCGGGTTGCCGGGGTTCGTGCCTCATTGTCTCCAAGCCCGGCTTCTATCCCTAGTCCTTTCCTGTTCCCGCCACTCCGCTGCTTCTGTCTCCTCTTCCCTCCAGCGGTGATTCCAAACCTTCTCTTCCATAAGATCCTCCGCTCCCTTTCCCAGAGACCCAGAGGCGGCCACGCGCCGCTGCAGTGGCGCAGCCTACAGCCGGTCCCCCTCCGCGCCGCGCAGGCAGTCCAAGGTCATTCCCGGTCACCTGCCCCCTCGCTCCCATTGGCTCTGGGGAGGCCACATGACTCCATCCTGTCCAATGGCGTGGGGCCCTGTCGCTTGCCGCCGGACAAGCTTTTCCAGGAGCTTCTGGAGGCAGCTCGGGGATCCCCGGCTGATCGCAGCCTAGCGTAGCAGAGACCTGAGGACAACCGCCCTTAGATCCTCTGCCTTCCTCTGGTCCTTTCCCCTCCCTGAAGGGGAGGACTTGGGGGAGAGGTTAAGGGCACCGGCTTTGAAGTCCCATCCCAGCCCTGCCTTGGACGGGCGCGGTGTTTCACGCCTGTAATCCCAGAATTTTGAGAGGCTGAGACGAGAGGATCTCTTGAGCCCAGGAGTTGGAGACCAGCCGGGGCAACATGGTGAGACTTCGTCCCTATAATTTTTTTTTTTGTTGTTAAGACAAAGACTTGCTCTGTCACCCAAGCTGGAGTGCCATGGCATGAACTCGGCTCACTGCAACCTCCACCTCCCAGATTCAAGCTATTCTCGTGCCTCAGCCTCCCTAGGGGCTGGGATTACTGGCGTGAGCCACCACGTCCCGCTAGCCAATTTTTGTAGAGAGGGGTTCGCCATGTTGGCCTGGTTGGTCTTGAACTCCCTACCTCAGTTGATCCGCCTGCCTCAGTCTCCCAAAGTGCTGCGATTACAGGTGTGAGCCACCGCGCCCGGCTCTATAATTTTATAATAAATAATGTGAAAGAAAAAAAATTGCCTCATGGAGCTGTGGATCGCGTGTATAGAGTGCTTAGCATTTGTGTTCAGGGCACAAGCTCTGGGCTCTGCAGACACTAAACTACAGCCCCAGCTCCCCCACTCGCGAGCTGTGGGACCTCACCACACCAGGTTCAATTGGTAGTTTCACAGCCAACTTATTATGAAGCCATCAATGCTGTGTGAACTTTGCTGTCCATCTCCTGGGGGACAAACATAGGAGTGAAATTACAGGGTCCTAGGGACAAGTTCATCATCAGCTTTAGTAGGTAATGCCAACGTGGTTTCCAAACTGGTTAGCCCAAGAGTGCATGAGAGTTCCTGCTGCCCCTCATCCTTGCCAGGACCTGGTACTCTATGACTTTTAAGTTTGTGTCAGTCCAGTAGTGCGAGGTGGACTCTTCAGCATTTCCCTGATCATAGTGAGGTCAAGCCATCTGTGTTTTTCTCTTAGATGAGACATCTGTTTGTGACTTAGCCCCTCTCCCTAACTCTTCCTTTTTGCTTTTGTCTTAAGGATTAATAAGCATTAGAAAGAAATCCTTATCGGCTGGGTGCACACCAGCATGCCTGGCTGACTTTAAATTTTGTTTTGTAGAGAGGAGGGTCTCGCTATGTTGCCAGGGCTGGTCCCAGACCCATCAAGTGATCCTCCCACGTCGGCCTTCTAAAGTGCTGGGATTACAGGAATGAGCCACCTGCTCGGCCACTTGAGTTTTTTTGAAGGATCTAGCTTCAGAAATTTTTTTTTTCTTTTTGAGCTGGAGTCTTGCTCTGTCGCCAGGCACCAGGCTGGAGTTCAGTGGTGCAATCTTGGCTCACTGCAACCTTGGCCTCTCAGGTTCAAGCAATTCTGCTGCCTCAGCCTCCCAAGTAGCTGGGACTACAGGCATGCACCACCACGCCCAGCTAATTTTTGTATTTTTTAACAGAGACAAGAGTTTCACCATGTTGACCAGGCTGGTCTCGATCACCCGACCTTGTGATTTGCCCACCTTGGCCTCCCGAAGTGTTGGGATTACAGGCGTGAGCCACCGCGCCCAGCTGAGAAATTCCTAAGGTCAAGATAGTCTTCAATATTTTATTCATTTGAAATGGAATGGAATTGCAGTGGCCTGGTGCCTGGCTCTCCCTGGATTCATCACCATTTCTATCAGATGCCACTTCTTCCAGAACTCTCCCAGGATCCCTGCACCCCCCACCAGCCACCATGTGCTGTTTGCATCTCAGCTGCCTGTGGGCCTGGTTCTGCCCTTCATCAGTTAGCTCCCTCCTAGATGGGTCTTTTACATTTCCATGTGGCCAGGAAGTTGTGAGGTGTGATACCAATGAGTGGTTACCAGTAAAGTACTAAAGTATCAGTCATTTTTTCCCCACAAGATTAAAGAAAATCAACAATGGACTCTCAAGACTGTCCCAATGTCACCCTCTTTTTCTAGCATTTCAAAATGCCAGAGGCTGGATGCGGTGGCTCATGCCTGTAATCCCAACATTGTGGGAGGCTGAAGCAGAGGATCATTTCAGCCCAGGAGTTCAAGACCAGCTTGGGCAACATGGCAAGACCTTGTCTCTACAAAAACTTTAAAAAAAAAAAAAAAAACTAGCCAGGCATGGTGGCGTGAACCTGTAGTCCTAGCTATCTGGGAGGCTGAAGGGGTGGATCACCTGAGTCCAGTTTGAGGCTGCAGTGAGCTGATTGTGCCACTGCACTCCAGCCTGTGTGACACAGTGAGACCCTGTCTAAAATATCAACAAAAAAAACCCATATATGTGTGTGCATATGTATACACAGATACAAAAAAAGTAAAAAATACCAGATAGGGACCCCTGCTAGCCTGACATCACGTGATTACATAGACAGGTACAATATGTTGCCACGGATGGCAGAGGCAATTACCAGCCCCCCCCGGGCCTGCCTCTCTGCGTGTCTTCAGGGTATGCCGGGGAGTATGCATCATGAGAGAGAAAAAGTTCTAGGGTCTAGGCCTGAGCTCCACTGGCAGTGCCCCAGGGTTCCACACCCAGCATGTCACCTGGCTTCACATCACCCTTCTAGAAAAGCTTCTAAGCCCTTGCCCTGGTGAAAATACACCCTAATTCTCAGAGGGTGGCCCCTGAATCCACTAGCCTGGGACCCATGGTGGCCCCAGCTTCACTTTTTCCCAATTCCCCTCCCCTTCACCCACTGACCCAAGGCACCAGCCACATTTCCCCAGTGCCAGGTTCTTTGATGCCACTGTATTTCCCTATGTATTTGTATGTATGTGTGTATTCCTCTGTAAGGAATGCCCCTCTCCAGGTGCAAACTCTGACTCTTCCAGCTTTAACGCTGCCACCTCTGGGAAGCCTTCCAGAAGTTCTGTGGTTGCTCCAGCTTCGACCTGCCCACCAGTGGTAGCCACTGCACAGCCCCAGGCAGGCTGTGTTCTAAAGAATCTGTCTCAGTCTAGATAACCCTGTGGGTTTTCCCTCAGTGTCTGACCCAGCAGGAGCTTGACAGGGGCTTGCAGAATCCAGGTGACCTGCTGGCCCTGTGCCTGCTGGGACACAGATGTGACATCACTGGAATCAGCCTGGTGATGTGGTAAAGCCAGAGAGCCGTGCTAACACAGAAGGTGAGCTGAGAGTAAGCTCAGTGAGCTTGCCCTCTGAAGAGGGGGTGGGGAAGGGGAGAAGGTTCAGGAGAGATCGGGGGGGTGAGGAGTAGTTCACTCAGTCCCCTTTCACTCGGCAGCTCAGCTCTCCCCAGTACTGTCCAGTGGAAGGACCACCCAAAGCAACTGAGAGACCTGCTTGTGCGAAGAGGTAGAGGTTTATTGAAATATAAACATTCAAGAACATGTAAGATGAAAATACCCACAACATGTACAGACACTTGTTGCAGGGGGACATCTGAGGTATTTATTCACTGCCTAGGCTACCCACGTGCTATCACACTTTTCCTGGTGAAAATACACATAAGATGGGGAGCGGGGAGGGAACACAGCTACCCTGGCTGATGGCACCTTCAGGAAAAGCTCTGGTTGGGCCAAGGCCCCACTCCTGGGGGCACCTGCTGGCACCCCCCTATCGGGCTCTGGCTGAGACCCTGATGCTGTCTTTGAGGGCAGTGAGGATTCTGTCTGAGGGTGCAGCCAGGCAAGCTGCCGGGGGAAAGGGAGAGGATCCAATGACCAGAAAAATGCAGCAGTACTGTCCCTGCATCCTCCGGGTGGGAAGAGTCCATCCTTCGTGACCAAACCCCTGAGAAAGACACACTGGCCAAATGTCTGAGACACCTTCAAGTGGGCCCAATGCCAGCCAACTGGGCTCCTCAATGGCACCAGATCCCAGATGCCCTTCTCTGCCCACACCCTGCAGGCTGAGACCAGACGAGGTCAGCCCCGGGGAGATGGGGTGTGTGAGTGTGGCAGCTGGAGTGTGTGTGGAGGGCTGGGGGAGAGAGGTGATGGGTGAGCAGAGCTGCAGCTTCTCAGACCGAGGTATCTGTGCTCAAGCTTTTGATTCCCTTTCCTCTCCTACACAGGACTGACTGCTAGCCGTGCTGCCACATACCCACGCCACGCGCAGTGTCTCCCACCGCCACCGCCCCATGTCACAGTGGTGGTGTTCCGTTCAACACTCCAGGGCTTCCTCGACTGGGGTGAGCCGCACACAAGAACCACCTTTTCTTTACAGCACAGGAGCCACCTGCCCCCACCCAGGGTCCAGGAGGAGCAGTGGAGTTCTCGGCATCTCATAGCTGGGGCGGCTCAACCTCCAGTAAGGCCAGCGAGGACCCCAGCCTGCTGGTGCCCTGAGCTGGGAATGCTGAGTGATGGGGAGGTGTTCTGCTGCCTCCCTGGTCAGCTGGGGGTGGGGGTGTGGCAGAAAATGGACTGTCTTCAGAACTGGTGCGGTTCCAGGGCCCAACTGGCGTGAGAGCAGGCCTCTCGCCTCCACCTCCCCGCCCCGCGATCCCTGAGTCGTCTCCCCTGCCTGCCTCCCCCTGGCCTCCTCACTGGGCTTGAGAGAAGAGCCGGAGGGGCCGGAGTACCCAATCATTTGCTTGGCTTTGGGGTGATCTGTTTTCATTTCTTTGGTGCTACAACAATAAAAATTTAAAAATAAAAAAAACAAAAGTCAGCAAAACACATATAAAAAAGATTTCAGAGATGCAAATACTTCCTGAAGACTCAACGTCAACAATTACAAATCTGAGGTATTTCAATGAACCTGACGTCGGCACGTGTGGGGATGATGAGGCCGAGATGGCCCCATGAGAAATGGAGGGGGGCTGGGGAGGGGACAAGGACGCTATTCTTGGGAGAGCGGGCCAACAAGGGCAAGTGGGGAGCATGAGGTTTTGGGGGTCAGAGAAGGGTCCATGTGAAGCAGGTGCCAGGGCTGGGCAGCACTGAGGCTCTGCCTTCCCATCAGCAGGTGCCTCGTGGGGTCTGGCCCCGAACTGCCCTTACGGTCTCTTCCTTGGGACCATTAGAAGGGGGATCTGGGGCCCTGAGGACTAATTCAAGACTTGAGTTTGAGGGACCCACACCCCAGGAACCTAACAGTAGGCAAGGTGGGCTGGGAGGGCCCCACCCCATGCTCAGCAGAGAAGGGCATGAAGGCATGCTCTCGGCTCCTAGCAGCCCTACATGGGACTTAAAAACGGGAAGAGACGAGGGGCCCTGGAGTCATGGCAGAAGGAGGGGCAGGGAAATAAATTAAAGGGGAAGGGAAATGGAGGGCCTCCAGCCCTGTGTCGGCTGACAGATTGTCGATACACTGTGCCCCGGGCTGGGAGGTGGCTGGGGAACCCTGGAGGAAGCTGGACACCCACAGACCCCCACCCAGTTCTCCAGGACAATCCCTGATTGGACAACGCTGCCCTGTCCTGCCCCTCTAGCCTCTCCCTGCCCCCAGAGTACAGCAGGACCTGAAAGGAGCCTGGACAGACGGACACGTCCAAACTCTCCATGTCTGGCCAAATGGTGCTCGTCGACGTGGGCTCCGTGAGATGAGGTAAATTCTGTGCATCAGCTTCCTTTACTCTCGGCAGGAGAGTGGCAAGTGGGAAGCTGGGTCCTGCCCATCAGAGGGACCAGCTGGTGGAGGGCTCTGCGCTGGGGGTGCCCCGGGATGAGGTAGGACTTGGTGAGCAGTGAGAGCTGCTGCTGCTGCTGGCGCTGCTGCCGAGGCTCTGGGGGGCAGACCCCGCGAGGAGGTGGACCACAGGCTTCTGGGCAAACAGCACACCTCGGTGGGGGGAAGAGAAGCGAGTGTGGGCAGAGGAAGGGGGAAGGGGCAGGCCAGCTCCTTTCAGTAAGTATTCACTGCTGGCCTAGCCCTGTGCCTGACTCCCCTGTAGACACTGTGCTAGGGGCTGATGGGAGAAGATCCAAATACTGTCCTGCCTTGAAGTGCTGATGGGCTGATGGGGGGACAGACAGGTCTACAGAGTAGTTTTGCTAAAACGTCATAAACGCTCTGAGACAGGTATACTCAGGGTACACAAAGAGGAACACCAAGGCCAGGTTACCAAGAGTCGGCTAGGCTTGTTCCCAAGCTAGTCCACAAACAAATGAAACAGGAATGGGAAAAGGACTGCTGTTTTTATGAATAATAAGTTGTTCTTTTTTTTTCTTTTTGAGACGGAGTTTCGCTCTTATTGCCCAGGCTGGAGTGCAATGGCTCGATGTTGGCTCCCCACAACCTGAGCCTCACAGGTTCAAGCGATTCTCCTGTGTCAGCCTCCTAAGTAGCTCGGATTACAGGCATGCACCACCATGCCTGGCTAATTTTGTATTTTTTAGTAGAGACACAGTTTCTCCATGTTGGTCATGCTGGCCTCGAACTCCCAACCTCAGGTGATCCTCCCACCTTGACCTCCCAAAGTATTGGGATTATGGGCATGAGCCACTGAGCCTGACCTATTTTTTTTTGAGACAAGATCTCGCTTTGTTGTACAGGCTGGAATGCAGTGGTACAATCATGGCTTGTTACAGCCTTGACCTCCTGGGCTCAAGTGATCCTCCTGCCTCAGCCTCCCAAGTAGCTAGGGGCCACAGGTGTGCACCACTATGCCTGGCTAATTTTTTTTTTTTTTGTATTTTGTAGATTTGGGATTTCGCTATGTTGCTCAGGCTGGTCTCAAATTCCTGGGCTCAAGTGATCCTCTTGCCTCAGCCTCCCAAAGTACTAGGATTACAGGCATGAGTCACCGTTCCCAGTCATGAACACTGAGTTAAACCCTTGGAAAGACTCTGTAAAGGTGCTAAATCAACCCAGGAACAAAACACTGTTGCCAAATTAGGTTTAGAAAGAGATAACTATAAAAGTCTGAGGGGTGGAGAACTTAACAGTGTAAGCTGATTCTGCTACACCGGGGTTCCTTTGGCTGTGTCTCAGTCCTCCGTCTATTTTAAAGAAAGGGGATGACAGAGAAGGTAATAAAAATGCATTCTGCAAAAGGAAGAGAACAGCTGAACTACAGTCAGAGAAAGGTGACCTGTGTATGAGAAGACCTGGGGATAGTGGGATACTGACTTCTTCAATCACCGAGCCAATCACCTGTCTAAAAGGGTTGGGTGGCCAGGCACAGCCCAGCACTCGGGAGGCTGAGGCGGGCAGATCACCTGAGGTTGGGAGTTTGAGACCAGCTTGACCAGTATGGAGAAACCCCATCTCTACTAAAAATAGAAAAGTTAGCCAGGCATAGTGGCGCATGCCTATAATCCCAGTTACTCGGGAGGCTGAGGCAGGAGAATCGCTTGAACCCAGGAGGCGAAGATTGTAGAGTCGCGATTGTACCATTGCACTCCAGCCTGAGCGACAGGAGCAAAACTCTGTCTCAAAAAAAATAAATGAATAAATAATTTTTAAAAAGGTGGGGGGGGGAATTAGGTGAAGGATTTCTGCCAAAGTGGGAGGGACCTATCATCCTGTTAACAATCCAGTCTCTACTAGTCCAGAGGACCACCTGACCTTTGCAACTCTGAGACCAGGAAAAAGGAAGCCACCCCGGGAAGTGTTCGGACAGAAGGCGAGAGGCATGGGCAGCCATGGAGCTGCCCTGTGGCTGGCTGTGGCCACGTGGGCCTCCCACAGAGCTCCAGGGCCTCACCTGCATAGGTGGTGCCATTGTTGTCCACAGACATGTTAATGCTCCCAATGCTGCTCGTGGTCAGGTTCAGCGCTGCAGCCGAGGCCTCTGCTCTGTCTTCTGCTGGGGACAGGGGGACATTGGGCCTGGTCAAGCCTTGCACAGCACTCCTGCTGTCCTCTCTGATGCTGCCTGGCCACCCCTGGTCAAAGGCTCATGCTGTTAGAAAGCAGCTATGTAACCTTCTCCTGAGTATAGGGTATGGCAGGAGATCCCTGGCTCGCCAACCTCCTGATGCTGGCTTCTCCCACTGACCTGGTTCATCTCCCCAGGTCCTTCTGCTCCCAGAGAAAAGGAATCACAGCAGGCAACGAGGCCGACCCCGGTCCCTCAGCTCTGCACTGGCACTCTCTATGTGATGGGCAAATCCCAAGCTCCACCACACCAGGCCCAGGAAATCAGAGATCAACAAGACCCAGCCCCAACTCTGAGGACCCACCTTGCCCCTTCTTTCCTTTGACTCTGAGTCCCTCAAGGAGAGGGGTCTACGCCCCCAGCACCTGCCCCTCCGTGACCACCTGGGCAGCTGGTGGTTGTGGAAGGCTCCAGGTGCAGGCACACAGGGCCTCTGCCTGGGTCACCCCAGACTCAGAATTCTTCCTGGCGAGCCATCTGTTCTAACAGCCCTTTGCTTTGTGCAGGGGCAGGGCACCTGGCCCTGGAGGAGCTTGTTACCTCCCAGTTTTCTTCTGTTCCCCAGGGGAATGGGGGAGGGAGGGGCGGTCTGGGAATATGTACAGCTCCCTTCACACCTGGCTCCTTCCCACGCATCTCATTCATGTTTGCTTTGAGATAGCATCAGGACCAGAATGGGAAAGAATGTGTGTGAATGGGAAAAGGGGCGTGTGGCTTGGGGAAGAGAATGTGGGGCACCAGAGCAATGTGACGGGGAAGGGAAGGGATGTCAATTATGCTGCAAAACTCGTATTCCCTCCTTCCCCCTATATTCCTGAGGGTCACTGGCAGTCCCACTGTCCAGCCTGGACAACCTGGCCCCTCACTGAGCCTCAGGAACAAGGGGTGTCTTCCTCTCAGACCTGCCGATGGTGCCCTGCTCTTGCCTACATCCAGTGAGGTGCTGGGGTAAAGGCTGGTGGGGAAACGCAGCAGCTCTCTGAAGGCCTCTGGCTCCTCCTCCATGAATAACTGCTCTCCCCTCTTAGAACAGGGTACTGCCTGAGGCAACATGTGGTCCCCTAGAAAGCAACCTCAGCCTGGTGAACTGAGAGCTCAGTGCCTCTCTTCTGGGGGCCTGGAAGGCAGAACCTGGAGGGGCCTCTTCCAGGTCACCACCCCTGCCCCATGAGTCCCAGGAGGCATGAATGGGCTGCGGTTTGGCGCTCAATAGGAAGGGAAGGGCCTGTCCTGAGCCCGGCTCACCCCTGCCATTGATCCTGATTTTCATGGGGAGCTGCCGTGCCATGCTGAAAAAGTTGCGCTGGAAGGCCTGCTGCACCAGGCGCTGCTCCTCCTCGGACAGCCTTGATGCCTTCTTCTCAGCAGGCTCCCCCGACTCCAGCCGCTCCCGC